TACAAAAAGCATTACAGTAAAACGAAAGGTATAGTGTATGTCGCTTTAATTAAACTTTTTAAAATCTTATTTACTTTCTCGTATGGTGCAAAAAAAAAAAAAATTAAAAAATCCAGATTTTTGTAAATCTCAAAGTTTACACCTACCCGAGTCGGAAAACATAGTTTTGCAATCTGGTCCACATGTATGTGTGTGTGTATGTGTGTGTGTGTGTGTAAACACGATAACTTTAGTACCGTTACAGCTACGTTGATTAAAATTTCATATATTAGTATGATATCAAAATTGTAGATCCGTATCAACTTTTGAGCGATTTCCGATAACCAGAAGTGGTACTTTTTTACTTTGAATTTTTCAACAGCCTATAACGTTTGTAATATTTCAGATAGATAAATCAAATTTCACATTTAAGTAAAAGGTGTAATGCTCTACCTTCTCTCAAATTTTGAGCAATTTAAGTAGACCGGAAGTAGTAATTTACGCTATTTTCGATTTCTCAAAAAACGCATGTAAATTCATAAAGTACTAATAATATTCTACACTATTATGCACATTTTGTTTTGGCGTTCGCTTGGTGCGCAATTCTTTTTTTTTTCTACGAGATTCTATTCATTTTTAAAAGTTTAAGTAATTAAAAATCATGTCTATATTTCGAGTTGCCATCCCATGTAGTGTTATATAAGAATATGCGAGAACATTTAGGGGAAATCACTCCCGGTTTATTTAAAATAATATTTATCTTTATGTTATTGAAATTATTATTCTACAAATAAGAAGCGCCAATTTTCTATAGCTTCTGGTAAGTATAAAATCATTTTAAAAACATTTAAAAAATATACTTCCAATGGCCTACTATTTTTACGACAATATCGAGGCTTCTATTATAGCAACACAGAACTACATTTTAGAAAAAGTATATTCTTAATTAGAAAAGGGGTCAATTGTTTAGGTAGCCAAATGGGCACAGTAGAAGTACCGTAATAGACTTAATGAGAATTCGAATCGGTCGTTATTTTTATTATATAAAGATATCACAATCCGAATAGTCACATTTTTTCCGACACCCTTGGTGTTAATGTCTACGATATCATTGAAACGTTTATGCGATGTCTTCAAATAATTAGTTTTTTGAATACATTGTTTATATAAGGCAGAGTTCACTTGCGGTCAGATTTAACCCCCCCCCCCCCCTGGCTAAGAACGCGGATGCATATTGTGAGGTTTTTTTTTCTCGTTTTCGTTAAAGACAAAGGGAACCTTGTCAAATATGAAGTGTCTATGACGTTGTACAGTACACTAAAGAAGTTGACAAATAACAAAAAAAATATTAATAAGCAATTTTATGATTATATCTATATATAATTGTATGCAGATACATACATGTATGCACAAGTGTTCATTAATATTGCACACTATTATAAATCTATTATTATTATTATTAAATTCTAACAAGTGATAATTCTTTTTCATGTATCTCAAATACCACGAACAGTTGAAAAACAAATCTGGGATACAGGTAAAAAAAAACCTTGGATACAGGTAGGGCCTATATGTATGAGAGTAAATTTCACAGTAGCACTTCACTATGTAGACTCAAAATGTTATCATCATTTTGCGCATCGTCAGGCAAGGTTAGTTGTCTATGTCTTATGTGTGTCTCTTAAAGCTTTAAAAATGAAATTAATACCTTAAGTTATCTCTTAAAAACGATTAATTATATCCATATAATGACTACCTATGAGCCATATAATGACCTATGAGCACACATGCCCAGCTGATAACCACATATAATCATACATGTCCACTCAATTATAACATACTAACAAAAAAAAAAGGTTTTTAAATATTTTAAGCTTTCAAGTTCCAAAACTCATTTTTTTTAAACGGTTAAAACATGTTTTGAAATGTTTTTTTTACACAAACAGAAAACTGTATGTACATTTCTCATCTTATAGCTCAGTCAAATGACTCGATAAAACAAAGCGACTATAAAGCTGTTGCTGATACAAACTTGACCACACTGCCCATCGATGTAGAGTTTGACCAAGTTAGCCTTTTGTCCTGCGCTTTACTTTGCTTGAGTTCCAACAAAACGTGCTATAGCTACATCTACAACGACACCACAAGACATTGTAGCCTGGGTAAATTCCCATTTTATAAGTGTAGCTTATTTAAGTTCCCCTGATTAGGTCCACTAGTTTAAAATTACCGTTTAATTATATTTTGATAAAACATCAGGATTTTTCGAAACATGAAAGGAATCTTGACGTTTGCTTCACTTTTGGATCAACACTTTTATCTAGAGCGGATTTTTTCAGATACTCATTTTAAATGTATTGTCAGTTATAGTTCACATAGAGAAACGTGTTTAATTGGAAACTAATTAACTTTTCAGAGTAGCTTCATTTTGTTTTGTTGGCATTCATAATGGCTTTGTAATATTTTGAATGTTTTAAAACGTCGCTCTATTTAGATCAAACAGCAAATATTAACCTAAATTATATTTACGTTTTCTATATTAACTGTTTTTCTATAAACAAAGTTAAATAGTGACATTTTAAAATTCCAAAATAGGGAATATTTTTAAAAATGACGTATTTGAGCTTAAAAAAACTCATTAGATATTTTGAATATTTTAGCGACCACGGCCTTTATAATTTTGTTTAATATTGTTTATTCTCTACTTTCAATTTATTTATAGTTTACTAATGCATTTCTTTATTGCGATTAAAAGTATTCGGTTTAAACTTTCCTAGATAGCTCGCGATATTTAAAAGTAACCCTCCGTGACTATAGTCTATAGTTCAAAGAAGAGAGCAAGCTGATAAAGCTATTGCTAGTTCTGCATCGTTTAAACATTCTTTTATCTGCCCTATAATTGTCTTTACTAACTTGAAACTACGATTGTCAAAACTTAATCGTGTTTCTATAAGCAAAGTAAATAGTGACATTTTAAAATTCCAAAATAGGGAATATTTTAAAAAATGACGTATTTGATCTTAAAAAAACTCATTAGATATTTTGAATATTTTAGCGACCACGGCTTTTATAATTTTGTTTAATATTGTTTATTCTCTACTTTCAATTTATTTATAGTTTACTAATGCATTTCTTTATTGCGATTAAAAGTATTCGGTTTAAACTTTCCTAGATAGCTCGTGATATTTAAAAGTAACCCTCCGTGACTATAGTCTATAGTTCAAAGAAGAGAGCAGGCTGATAAAGCTATTGCTAGTTCTGCATCGTTTAAACATTCTTTTATCTGCCCTATAATTGGCTTTACTAACTTGAAACTACGATTGTCAAAACTTAATGTAAACCATAGCTGAGCAGACATATCGGGTGATCGCGTATAGCTAGTTATCTACCCGTATTTATTAAATATAGTAAATTTTTAAAAATCTATTTTAATAACTAAATATACATTGAATTAAAGTGAAAATTAAATATTCGTGCGTTGCCATCTACGAAGAAAGTATCTGGAATTTTTGAACAAAATCACTGCATTTGAATATATCTAAATTGAGTTCCAAGATTCGCTACAAACCCGCAAACAGACTTTGCGAATTAAGTAAAAACTTTTTAAATTGTGTTTGATTTACTAGGCTCATGGCTTGTCCCACAGAACGCATCTCAACAAAAAACCCAAGGTAGAGTTTTCTCTAGCGGTAAGGTTTTCTCTAGTTTTGATAGTAAGCCCCACAACGCATTTCAATATTCTCCAAAACGACTTTGTTAATATTACGCACTTACTGTTCAATAAAATATATGCCTTAAACCCTCACGACTCAACGTATGAGTGAAGTATAATTAGTCTACTTGTAGCACATTGAGATATTTTTTTCCAATAGAAGTAGCTTCAAGACATGCGAGTAACTAAACACTTTTCTTGAGAGGCACTCCGTCATAACATTAAATCACTCAAAACAAAATGGTATTAAGATTTCTATCGGCTTATGTTGCAAAAAACGACTTACCTTGACAAATCAACCAGTTTAAAATCAATATTTGTTTAACTATACTTATATAGTAATTACGATTTGTAGGCTCTTGGCATACACATACTTTTTTATGGACCATGCTTTTAGTTTAGAGATTACAAAGCTGATTCTCTCAGCATTAATAAGAATAAGGATACAAATGCCAAGTAATGGAATTTTCCATTAAACGCGATGGACAAAAATCCAACTTGCGAAATTATAAAATGCACTCGTCATTGAAAACAACATTGTTCACTCATCGCAGTAGCTTATCATTACATAACCTTAAGAACCAAACACAGTAGCGTCAGACAGGCGGAGGTGGGGGTGAGGTCCACATCGGGTGACACTTTTTAGGCATGTGCTAAAATAGTGACCCATGGAGTGGTTTAACTTCAGGGACATAGCGCTCTTGAGAACCACCGGTTCCCCTACACTTCCCTTTGTTTGGTTTAGTCATCAAATGTAGTAGCCCACCGTGTCCCAATAGTAGGGTACTCTCTAAGACAAATATAGACACCGTAGTGCTCGTTGTGTGCGTGTGTGTTTGTGCGTGTGAGTGTGTGTGTGTGTGTGTGCGTGTTTATTTATTTATTGTGTTGTTAAAAAATATTTGTGTTAAATTTTAATTCAACAGTCACATTTGATCCTTGTTATGGAGTGAAAAGTAGTGACCCCCGACCTTTGGTGATCCTAAGCTCTGGACTTCAGGTCATGTGTGACACAGTGACAGACGGTGGAGGATGGACCATTTTCCAAAGACGTGTTTCTGGGACTGTAGATTTTTACAGGAACTGGACGGAATACAAAAATGGGTTTGGTGATTTTAGTTCAGGTAATTTTTATCTGGGAAATGAAAATGTTTATTTGTTTTCTTCCGAACGTCAAACACAACTGAGAGTGGATATGGTCTTCAATGGAACAAAATATTTCGCCAAGTATTCCAGCTTTAACATCTCTAGCGAGGCAGACGGTTACAGGCTATATGTTAATGGCTATACAGGAAATGCCACGGACAGTCTAGTTGACCACAATGGTATGAAGTTCACAACGTTTGACCGGGACAATGACATGTACAACCAAAACTGTGCTGTCGTCAACCACGGGTCTGTCTGGACTGGTCAACTTAACGGCTATCCTGACAGTTAGGTCAGCCAGGGCTTTTGTGAGGTCATACACATCGTTGTAATGGTTACCAGGAGAGAAATGTTCAGCAATTATCTGATTTACAGGTACAAACTCTTGATGGCCAGGATTTTTTGTGCAACTTGCATGGTGTGTGTGTAGATCTACCTCACGTTGACCTTCAAGACATTCTTGCACTTCATATGTACCTATACATGTAAACAAAATGATTTCCTTAGCTATTAAACTTTCACAAACATAAAACATCAAACTACCACAAATACACAATACTGACCTACCCATGTTGTATAAAATAGGTAATACATAAGAACTCCTTCAGCATCAACGGACTAAAAAGGAGAAAATAAAACACTTAAAAAAACTTTTTTAAAAAACCACGTTTTTCTTGTGGACTAAAAAGTAGAAAATAAATTTTCCTACATTTGATGACAAAAAACGTGGGTCGGGCAGATGGGTCGGGTAATTTCATTCACCACTGTCCGGTCACTTTAGTTCAATTATCCAACCCAGTGTATACCTAGGTGTGACATAAATGTCGCTCTACACAATTGTGATGGTGATGTGTGTGGGGTGGGGGGGGGGAGATAATTAACTCAGAGTGCACGTTGCGTCAGTTTTTAGATGACTGTTCTAAACATACATCTATATTACACAAATATATATTTAGGAAATAGATTTAAATAAGTAGCAGTTTTATTATGACAATATTTTTTACCGAGAGTTCCATGGGGGAGGGGGGTTGTAACTGTTTCATATAATTTGTAATCGTAATCACTATAATCCAAACTGTAAGAATACTACTACTTCATGGTGATGACATTGTTGACCTTGTCAAAATTTTCCCACCACTACGCAGTTTGCTCATAAGTAAATTTAAATATAGGTGACCCCCATCAGTTGTATTTGTTTATGTATTGTAATTTTTTTTTAATTAATCACAGTATTCAAACTGTATATATAAAGTAATTAAGTGTGGAGTTTTATGTATAACATTTTCTAATTCAATTATTCGTAAGCAAATACATTATACAGTTTCCTGAAACTTAACAACCCTCTTGCCAAGTGCATCGTAATGGTTATTTTTAGAATGGCAAACTGATGCAGCTGTTAATACGTGTTGTAAATGTAGACACTACTAGACTAGTACAATAATGTTTAATTGCTGCATGAAAAGAAATCTTGTGTACATAGATGTACCGACCAAAACTATTTTTTTAACAAATATCATTGATTAAAACTTTGAGTTTAAAAAGTTTCCAAAAAGGCGCCACTTTGCAGAAAATGGCCAGAGGGGGAGCGGCCGCTCCCCCTGCTCCCCCCATGCGTACGCTACTGAGCTGTTTACAATCGTAGTGACCGCTATTAGGGGGCATAAATTGTAGTTTTTAAACGATTTGAAATTAAGGACTATTAATAACACTTTCTGCTTGCTCTTTTCATTGTCGTCTGTAAACAGACGGCTGCTATAACGGAGGCGGGGTGGGGTAGAATAGTCGAGTGGAGTGGAAGGTGAGGGTGAGAATAATCGACCTCAACTAGCTACTGATAATGTTTTCAAGCAAATCATTTTCAGTCACAGCATTGGAAGTGTCGAATTCACAAATTATGAATTACCAAAATTTAAATTAAACTAAATAGGGACGTATGCTATGTCGCGGGTCAGATGGTAATTACTATTTCATGCTATTGCATATATTATTTGTTCTCGGTAGAGAAGTGTTTTAAGAAGGCATATATGCTTTTTCTTTATAGTTGCAATACCAGTGTACACATTTCCAAAGTAGTCTATAATGGAACATCAGTTTAACAAATTATCTAATTTTGTGATTATTGAAGGCTATTTCTGTATAAAGTTATCATTCTGACATTGACAAGAAATATTTGAAAATAATTATGGAATTATTAAATTTTTTTCAGAAGAAAAAAAATTCAATTGATATTACCTGTGCAATATAGATTATCTTCTCCTCCACTGGCCATGCTGATGTTGTCACTTGATTCTTTAAATGGAAAAAAAACTGATGATGTATATTTCTGGAAGTAGAGAAAAATTATAAACACAAAATCATTTCAATTTAAATAGACCGGGAGTGATCTCCCCTAAACTTCCTCGAATATTCTTATACGAGAAAAATGGCCCGTTGAGGAAGGATACACCGGGCGCTAGCTTGATAGTGCTGTCTCTTTTCTCTAAACTAAAACCAACCCACCCCCCACACACACCACCCCCACCCCCACACACACCACCCCCACCCCCACCCCTCCCACCCCCACCCACCCCACACACCACCCCCCCACCCCCCCCCCCCCCCCCACCCCCACCCCCAAAAAAACATGTCTACCGTCCCATTCAACGAAATATAATTATATACTTTTTCCAGTGTCCGCCCCCCTCCCCGAAAATTCTACCCCCGCCCCCGAAAATTTCAAGTACCCCCACCCCTCTCCGGGGAGGAAAAAGTCTGAAAGAAACACTGGTGTCGCGCTTAGCCACTACGCGAAGAATTGCATTAAAGAAATTGCGAGAAAACCACTTTTTAGATTAGACACATTAATTAGGCGGTAATTTTATTATAGAGTATCGATGAGGAAACCACCCCACCCCACCCCCCCCCCCACACACACACACCACCACCCCCCCCACCCCCTACCCCCCACCCCCCACTCCCAAAAAAATCATGTCTACCGTCCCATTCAACGAAATATAATTATATACTTTTTCCAGTGTCCGCCCCCCTTCCCGAAAATTCTACCCCCTTCCCGAAAATTTCAATTACCCCCACCCCTCTCCGGGGAGGAAAAAGTCTGAAAGAAACACTGGTGTCGCGCTTAGCCACTACCCGAAGAATTGCATTAAAGAAATTGCAAGAAAACCACTTTTTAGATTAGAAACATTAATTAGGCGGTAATTTTATTATAGAGTATCGATGAAGAAATTTCTTTTGAGATGGGGAGGGGGGGCTCAGACGTTCCTACGCGTGGGGTGGGGCTTCGCCCCTACCCGAAGAATTGTATGCAAGAAACTCTTCACGCAAACCATTTAGATTAGACAACATTTCCTTTTTATTCAATGTTTACGCGATAATCAATGACGTCATTATATTACTGTGTGCACTTTCCGCCGTGAGATTATTTTCAACTCTATGCTAAATGTGTCGACGTCATACTTCGTCTTTCGTTTCACTGTGAGAGTTTTTAATTTCCTTGTGTTTTCTCTAGAGCGTTCTTGTCAGACAGAGCGTTCTTGTCAGATACACAGACAGACAGCGAAACTATTATTATAGATAACACGACGGGAGATGGCACTTCACTATAAAGACATGATTTTCTTTATCCATTTTTTAATTACTTAAACTGTTTAAAATATGAGCAAATTAACAGTCTCCACACACTAATTGTCTACGACCTTTCTCGTCAATGGCTCAACCTTCCCCCAACTGACTAGCCTCGACTGTCTTTTAACCTCTTTTTCTTCCCCATCAAGCCTAACTTAATGTGTATGTCGCCACATTTCTGCGGTACCTGAATAAAAATGTTAAACCAGCTAATAAATAAACCTCCCGGGATTTCCCAGTCCTCCCCCCACTTAGGTCGCCCGATTCAATTAGATACATGACAGCTACATCTACCCCTTGAATAATCTCGTCCGTTATTACAATCTAATTCTAACCCGTTTTTCGTTGATCTACAGTGCGAATTCAACATTAATATAATGCATTAAAAAAGTAATAGTCAAGACTGTCATAAGAATATTGATAAAATGTAGAAGATCATCAAATCGAACTTAAAAATCATAACATTGAATTACAACTGTTTTCGACATATCTATCGAGTTATTTAATTTTGCTATCTCCCATCAGTGTGGAAACCGTAATTATTTAAAATACAATGACTAATTTAACATCTAATTAAAACGTAACAATAGATTCAACTTGTATTGTCATCGAAGTGAAATCTATCAGAACAAAGTCGCTGCATTAGAAGTGGGTCAAAATTAAGTAGCAAGATTTGCTACAAACCCACAAACTTATAAGCATATGTTACGAACTAAAATAAAAGCTTGTAAAATAATTAATGTGTTTATATTCTAATTGTCGAAAATTTAGAAACGCATTTAAATATTAAATAAATAAAACGCCAAATTAATTACCTATTTAAGTCCCACGAGTCCACATGCAATCCAAAACTCTTCACGCACCCAAAAGGTATAAGGAAGTGATATAGGCCTACACCGTGAAAAAGAAGTCACCTGAGTTAATCCAGCGTGGGTGGTTTTATACGATCATGGCGCCATTTGTTGGTATATAGGGCAAAGAGAGTAACTAGTGCACACTAAAAGAATAAATAATAGCAATTCAGAAGCAGGTTATTTTACTTTTACATCTAACTTTATTGGAAAAAAAAACAACTGATTTATTGAAAAAAATGCAATAGTAATTGAGACAAAAAATAACAAAAAGTTCGGAAAATTAGTACTACGTGGTAAAAAGAATTTTTTTAGTTTAATAAATAGACATACAATCAAACAAGAACTGATTTATTTTATAAACTAAACAGTAAATCTTATCACCTTTAAGATCCTCATAGAACATTAGCACTCGTTAGAACTGAATATGTTATGTGATTGCTTTCTGATTGCTTTGTTTGTCTTGTAGACTTACACTAATTTCTCTTATCAGTTTTTTTCACTTCATTTTTTTGTATGCTTGAAATATTGTTACTGGTAGTGCTAGTTGTTATTGTAATATAAACTGTTGAATGACGTTTTGGCTATAGTTTTTGTGTTAAATTACGCATCGCTACAATTAAGTGTCAAGATTGTTTGTTTGCAAAAAAACAAAGCATGCGTCTATAGTATAAATAGATCAAACCACGTAAGCATTTGGTGTTTGTCATCGACTGAATAATAACTGAAATAGATTTAAGACATTGTAATGAGATAAATCGTAAGTGGATATAGAGAGTGGGGAAAAACTTTGGGAAATTGGGTGTTTTAATGGTAAATAAAGTTACTGTACATGTATATTGGTAAAAAACAAATACCTCAATTACTAGAGAGAACTACTAGAGCTTAAATATAATAGAAGTTGAATGTCGTGTTTTGAGTTGTGGCTTTTGAGAAACATGAACAAACGCGTTATATCATGTCACCGGGTTACCGCATTAAAAGTGGTTTGACCAGGTGCTGCTAGTCTTATTTTTTGTCTATTGGTAGGAACAGCTGTGAACACAACACATTTTAATGTTAAACATTTTGTTTAAACATTTTGCCTACTTGTAGGTCACATTTTGTACACCATGAGAAAAATTATAAACACAAATCGTTTTTCTTTAAGTTAAATTACATTTCTTGCATACATTTTCAATGAATATAATTGTATAATTTATGTAAATACGTTGTATAATTAAAATCTTATTTTGCAGATATTACTACACTTGGCTAAATAACGGCCGCGAATAACTGCTATGCAGACGTCATTTCAAATTGTAATCCCACACTTGTCTGGAGCGCTTAGATTTCTTAGGCAGAGAGATATATCAGAGAGATATATTAGAGAGATATATTAGAGAGATATATTAGCAAGATATATTATAGAGATATATTATAGAGATATATTAGAGAGATATATTAGAGAGATATATTAGAGAGATATATTAGAGAGATATATTAGAGAGATATATTAGAGAGATATATTAGAGAAATATATTAAGAGATATATTAGAGAGATATATTAGATAGATATGTTAGAGAGATATATTAGAGAGATATATTAGAGAGATATATTAGGAGAGATATATTAGAGAGATATATTAGAGAGATATATTAGCAAGATATATTATATAGATATATTAGAGAGATATATTAGAGAGATATATTAGAGAGATATATTAGAGAGATATATTAGAGAGATATATTAGAGATATATATTAGAGAGATATATTAGAGAGATATATTAGAGAAATATATTAAGAGATATATTAGAGAGATATATTAGATAGATATGTTAGAGAGATATATTAGAGAGATATATTAGAGAGATATATTAGAGAGATATATTAGAGAGATATATTAGGAGAGATATATTAGAGAGATATATTAGAGAGATATATTAGAGAGATATATTAGAGAGATATATTAGAGAGATATATTAGAGAGATATATTAGAGAGATATATTAGAGAGATATATTAGAGAGATATATTAGAGTGATATATTAGAGAGATATATTAGAGAGATATATTAGAAATCGATTTAAATAAAAGAGTTGTTGGACTGTGACCAAAGGGAGAAAACTATTGCAATACATAGGGATAGATTTGAATACATGACCACTCGTGTTTCTGACTTGAAAGGGGAATATTTGTTTACATGTTAGACTTGGCACAGATCGCTGATTTTATTCATGGGACAAGCTTGCCAATTTGTGTTTGTTTCTGTCTATCTAACTCGTTGGCCAAGGACTAAGGTTTATGAATATAATTTATTGGCTTACGTGATCCAATCTGTCAAATTCGTCTACCAGATCGATATGTATTGATTGCATATTTTAAAGTTTCATGTAGGTTTGTGAACGTCATTTGTACGCCTTACGTACATATCATGTATTTCTTGGACACCTCTAGTCATGGACACCTCTAGTCGTGGACACCTCTAGTCGTGGACACCTCTAGTCATGGACACCTCTAGTCATGGACACCTCTAGTCGTGGACACCTCTAGTCATGGACACCTCTAGTCATGGACACCTCTAGACATGAACTTCTCAAGACATGGAAACCTCTAGTCATGGACACCTCTAGTCGTGGACACCTCTAGTCGTGGACACCTCTAGTCATGGACACCTCTAGTCATGGACACCTCTAGTCATGGACACCTCTAGTCGTGGACACCTCTAGTCATGGACACCTCTAGTCGTGGACACCTCTAGTCATGGACACCTCTAGTCATGGACACCTCTAGTCATGGACACCTCTAGTCATGGACACCTCTAGTCATGGACACCTCTAGTCATGGACACCTCTAGACATGGACACCTCTAGTCATGGACACCTCTAGTCATGGACACCTCTAGTCATGGACACCTCTAGTCATGGACACCTCTAGTCGTGGACACCTCTAGTCATGGACACCTCTAGACATGAACTTCTCAAGACATGGAAACCTTAAGACATAGATACATCTAGATATGAGTACTCAATAAGTACACATCTGTTGTAGTTGTCTCTTTCATTCTTTTAGCCCTGCGAAAACAGTGGTAAATCATGTAAAGGCCGAGTCATGTGAAGTCAAGGTCCCGTACCAATAAAGTCCTGTGATGGCAAGGTCCTGTACCAATTAAGTCCTGTGATGGCAAGGTCCTGTACCAATAAAGTCCTGTGATGGCAAGGTCATGTACCAATAAAGTCCTGTGATGGCAAGGTCCTGTACCAATTAAGTCCTGTGATGGCAAGGTCCTGTACTAATAAAGTCCTGTGATGGCAAGGTCATGTACCAATAAAGTCCTGTGATGGCAAGGTCCTGTACCAATAAAGTCCTGTGATGGCAAGGTCCTGTACCAATTAAGTCCTGTGATGGCAAGGTCCTGTACCAATAAAGTCCTGTGATGGCAAGGTCCTGTACCAATAAAATCCTGTGATGGCAAGGTCCTGTACCAATAAAGTCCTGTGATGGCAAGGTCCTGTACCAATTAATTCGTGTGATGGCAAGGTCCTGTACCAATAAAGTCCTGTGACGGCAAGGTCCTGTACCAATTAAGTCCTGTGATGGCAAGGTCCTGTACCAATAAAGTCCTGTGATGGCAAGGTCCTGTACCAATTAAGTCCTGTGATGGCAAGGTCCTGTACCAATAAAGTCCTGTGATGGCAAGGTCATGTACCAATAAAGTCCTGTGATGGCAAGGTCCTGTACCAATTAAGTCCTGTGATGTTTTCGTTTGCTTTTTTGTTTGGTTTTTCTTTGTGTTTGTATTGGTGTTTGTGGTTTTGGTTGGGTTTGTTGTTAGGTTTTTGTTTTCGTTTGTATTTGTAATTGTGTTAGCGTTATGTTTGCGTTTTGTTGCTTTGGTTTTGGTTGGTTGTGGTTTGGGTGGGCAATGCCGGGTTTATGATGATTACTAAATACACAGGTAATGTTCTTTAACAGAAAGGTTTTCCACAGAAGCCAGAGCAGGGCCTGGCCGGGACGGCTAGTATTAGATTAAAATGGATTAAAAATCATGTCTAGAAGTCTATATCACGAGTTACCATCCCCCGTAGTGTTATATTAGAATATTCGAGAAAGTTTAGGGGAGATCACTCCCGGTTTATTAGCTGTAGTAAATAATTCTGTGGCATATTCAACTATAGAGATTAATACTGAACAAAAAAAATATATTTGAAAAGAAAACCTAAAAGCTGCTAAATCATGAATTTAAACTAAATGTACCGGGACGTTCGACGTTACGCAGATTGTCTTTGTTACAACTATAATAGAGAAATAAAATACTGTATTATTATAGATCTAAAAAAATCAAAACATAGTGCAGAATTGTAATATTACTTTATTATAGTGCTTTTAATACTATCTCAGAGTAAACTTATTTTTGAGTGGCATCATAGGAAAATACACGAATCGGTTGTAACAATTATAAAACGCTCTTTAACTACTCAAGATGTGATTCATTTATTATACAATAATGCTTTGAAAGTTGGTTTACTTCAACAATCTCTACAATTGTACGTCGAGAGAAATTTCAAGAACTGACAACCAACAGACGCTATGTTTTTTACATTCTATAAAATAAATCCTACCTTTGTCTGTAAAAAAAAATGTTGCTAGGTCTGTGATACCAGAAGTGGATTGTAAAAATGTTGGCTACACACGTTACTATGTCGCAACTACCTCATTGCTTGTGTGATGAAGTGCTAGGTTGTGTGACCGAATTGGTAAAACACGAATACATACACAAACACACAGATGCCCAGCCGTACACAAAAAACACACACGCAACGTCTCTCTTCCCATTTTCTCTGTCTCTCTAAACATATAAGACATGGCAGTATTATAGCTAATTTAATGTAAACTTAATAAATTATTTGTAGAATACTATCCGGCCACTAAATCCCTAGTCAGTGAATCGTCGACTCGTAACCTCCTAGTCAGATAATACCTAGGCATTTAATCGTTAGATTCTAAATTTTTCATAAAGAATTATGAAATATGTCTGTAGGGTTTACGTTAGGTTGAGGACTAATTGTCTGTGGAGGAAAAATCTAAGGAATAAAATGTTGGGGTTTAAGTGACTGGGAACCTTGAATAATCCTTCTGTCCAGTTAAATGTTTAGTCTAAACATCTTAGTAACAATGAACTTCAAAGGAGTGTTCAGTGAAATTTACTTGTTGATAGTATATTTGATTTTTTTTTCACTCTGAGATCACCAAAATGTGTGTACACTGATACCCTGGGGCCACCAAAATGTGTGTACACTTACAACATGGGGCCACCAAAATGTGTGTACACTGATACCCTGGGGCCACCAAAATGTGTGTACACTTACAACATGGGGCCACCAAAATGTGTGTACACTGATACCCTGGGGCCACCAAAATGTGTGTACACTTACAACATGGGGCCACCAAAATGTGTGTACACTGATACCCTGGGGCCACCAAAATGTGTGTACACTTACAACATGGGGCCACCAAAATGTGCGTACACTGATACCCTGGGGCCACCAAAATGTGTGTACACTTACAACATGGGGCCACCAAAATGTGTGTACACTGATATCCTGGGGCCACCAAAATGTGTGTACACTTACAACATGGGGCCACCAAAATGTGTGTACACTTACAACATAGGGTCACCAAAATGTGTGTACACTGATACCCTGGGGCCACCAAAATGTGTGTACACTTACAACATGGGGCCACCAAAATGTGCGTACACTGATACCCTGGGGCCACCAAAATGTGTGTACACTTACAACATGGGGCCACCAAAATGTGCGTACACTGATACCCTGGGGCCACCAAAATGTGTGTACACTTACAACATGGGGCCACCAAAATGTGTGTACACTGATACCCTGGGGCCACCAAAATGTGTGTACACTTACAACATGGGGCCACCAAAATGTGTGTACACTTACAACATAGGGTCACCAAAATGTGTGTACACTGATACCCTGGGGCCACCAAAATGTGTGTACACTTACAACATGGGGCCACCAAAATGTGCGTACACTGATACCCTGGGGCCACCAAAATGTGTGTACACTTACAACATGGGGCCACCAAAATGTGTGTACACTGATACCCTGGGGCCACCAAAATGTGTGTACACTTACAACATGGGGCCACCAAAATGTGTGTACACTTACAACATAGGGTCACCAAAATGTGTGTACACTTACAACATGGGGCCACCAACATGTGTGTACACTTACAACATAGGGTCACCAAAATGTGTGTACAAAGACACCCTGGTGACACCAAAATGTGTGTACACTTACAACATGGGGCCACCAAAATGTGTGTACACTGATACCCTGGGGCCACCAAAATGTGTGTACACTTACAACATAGGGTCACTAAAATGTATGTACAAAGACACCCTGGGGACACCAAAATGTGTGTACACAACATAGTGTCACCAAAATGTGTGTACACTTACAACATGGGGCCACCAAAATGTGTGTACACTAACAACATGGGCCACCAAAATGTGTGTACACTTACAACATGGGGCCACCAAAATGTGCGTACACTGATACCCTGGGGCCACCAAAATGTGTGTACACTTACAACATAGGGCCATCAAAATGTGCGTACACTCATACCCTGGGGCCACCAAAATGTGTGTACACTTACAACATGGGGCCACCAAAATGTGCGTACACTGATACCCTGGGGCCACCAAAATGTGTGTACACTTACAACATGGGGCCACCAAAATGTGTGTACACTGATACCCTGGGGCCACCAAAATGTGTGTACACTTACAACATGGGGCCACCAAAATGTGTGTACACTGATACCCTGGGGCCACCAAAATGTGTGTACAAAGACACCCTGGGGACACCAAAATGTGTGTACACTTACAATATGGGGCCACCAAAATGTGTGTACACTGATACCCTGGGGCCACCAAAATGTGTGTACAAAGACACCCTGGGGACACCAAAATGTGTGTACACAACATAGGGTCACCAAAATGTGTGTACACTTACAACATGGGGCCACCAAAATGTGTGTACACTGATACCCTGGGGCCACGAAAATGTGTGTACAAAGACACCCTGGTGACACCAAAATGTGTGTACACTTACAACATTGGGCCACCAAAATGTTTGTACACTGATACCCTGGGGCCACCAAAATGTGTGTACACTTTCAACATAGGGTCACCAAAATGTGTGTACACTTACAACATGGGGCCACCAAAATGTGTGTACACTTACAACATGGGGCCACCAACATGTGTGTACACTTACAACATGGGGCCACCAAAATGTGTGTACAAAGACACCCTGGTGACACCAAAATGTGTGTACACTTACAACATGGGGCCACCAAAATGTGTGTACACTCATACCCTGGGGCCACCAAAATGTGTGTACACTTACAACATGGGGCCACCAAAATGTGTGTACACTTACAACATGGGGCCACCAAAATGTGTGTACACTTACAACATAGGGTCACTAAAATGTGTGTACAAAGACACCCTGGGGACACCAAAATGTGTGTACACAACATAGGGTCACCAAAATGTGTGTACACTTACAACATGGGGCCACCAAAATGTGTGTACACTTACAACATGGGGCCACCAAAATGTGTGTACACTTACAACATGGGGCCTCCAAAATGTGCGTACACTGATACCCTGGGGCCACCAAAATGTGTGTACACTTACAACATGGGGCCACCAAAATGTGCGTACACTGATACCCTGGGGCCACCAAAATGTGTGTACACTTACAACATGGGGCCACCAAAATGTGTGTACACTTACAACATGGGGCCACCAAAATGTGTGTACACTGATACCCTGGGGCCACCAAAATGTGTGTACACTTACAACATGGGGCCACCAAAATGTGTGTACACTGATACCCTGGGGCCACCAAAATGTGTGTACAAAGACACCCTGGGGACACCAAAATGTGTGTACACTTACAATATGGGGCCACCAAAATGTGTGTACACTGATACCCTGGGGCCACCAAAATGTGTGTACAAAGACACCCTGGGGACACCAAAATGTGTGTACACAACATAGGGTCACCAAAATGTGTGTACACTTACAACATGGGGCCACCAAAATGTGTGTACACTGATACCCTGGGGCCACGAAAATGTGTGTACAAAGACACCCTGGTGACACCAAAATGTGTGTACACTTACAACATTGGGCCACCAAAATGTTTGTACACTGATACCCTGGGGCCACCAAAATGTGTGTACACTTTCAACATAGGGTCACCAAAATGTGTGTATACTTACAACATGGGGCCAACAAAATCTGCTTACACATATAATCTGAGACTAGAATTCGAAAACGTATGTATACTGACACCCTGAAACAATAGCATCAAAATGTGTGTAGTAATAGTGTGATTGCTTAGAACATTGGGAAAACTATTTTACTGTTCCTCTTAAATGTTTACCTTTTTATTTTATTTTCGGATCAGTTATGTTAACCATCTATCATTTTATCTTTCCTAATAACATGAAATTTATTTTGTAAATCAGATGGTCGTATTACCTATAGGAAATAAACCTAAACATCAATAAACCTAAACATCGGCGAAAGAAGTAACTAGAGTAAGGCTGCTTGTGTTGAAATTTTCTTTTGATTGAATTTGCTTAACCGCTACTTTTAAAACTCCAACCACCCACTACCCGCTCTACACTACCAGCCTGCCTTAGAATCCTTTCAAGCCTTTACATGGACTTTTAACTTGTAAATGGAATTTTAACTGTGACACCGCATTGCAATTAGTAATACGATATCGAGATAAAAATTAATTGCATATGTTTCACATAGCTAAAATATAAAACGTAACACTAAAAACGTTCTTACAAAATGTGGTGTGACAGACAGTAACATTGCTACAAGTCACTTTTAAACATGGTGGTATAAAGTAGTTAATTGACAACTAAGGGTTGTTAAATCTACTGACGTAAAGAACAGTACAATTCGGGCGGGCTTTAGAGCGGTCGACTTCTATCCTAAAAGTTTCAAGTTTGGTTATTGGTCTGGACTAAAGCCCGCATGACATCCCTGCATCCACCTAACTGTGATTGGTAACTGACCCATGCTTGTGAAAGTAAAAACGACGGCCCATTGTATTGACGAATCCATTCACTGATATGTCGAGGTCACAAAACAATTACACTATTGACATGTTATTGTTTTATAGCCAGTTGTATTATGTAGTCTAGTGTGGTTGTCTCATATTGTAGGTCATGCTGTCGTATCAAAGTTTCATATTTTATTTTCACACGTTGTGGTCTCATATTGTTGTCCGATGTTGTAGTCTGATGTTGTGGTCTGATGTTGTGGTCTGATGTTATGATCTCAAATTGTGGTCTAATGATGTCGTCTGGTGGTTGGGTCCGTGTTTGAATATAATTTTTCTTGTAGTATAATTTCCAATATTGAAAGAAACTAACCATATAAGTGCAATATAAATAAAGCAGAAAAAAAGAGACCAAATTCAAACACCACATCATAAGACACGAGCCTTGAGCTTTTTGATTAAGTCAAATTATATATCGCTGCCGCATATGTCTGTATTGTCACACACTACCAGACCATAACTTTGGAACACATTGAAAGCTAATAAACAACAAAATTACAAACCTAATTGCTTTAAAAACTTTATACTGGTATTTTATTCAGGTATTTGATAAATTAAATATTGAACAAAGTAAAGTCATTTATTTTTGTTTATATTGACAAGCGTAGCATTTGACAATCCTTGTTTAGCCTTAAAGATATCTGATACCCTTGTTACCAGTGTCTCTAGCTCGGATTTAAATTTAGCCTCGTTAATTAAACATCACGTACAATTACATATCTCTTTAACAATGTACACGTTTTGGCGTTTTTTTTATCGTCGATTTTAATACTGAAGTCCCCTTAATGTAAAGGTCGAACAGTCAGACTTTTCGGCCAACCGGCACCGGATCTAGCGTTCTATCGCCCCATGGCAGACTCATGCCAAATTTGAAGCGCCCCGACAACTTTGCTTTTTTCAAATATGTATATAGAATTTGTTTACAAGGTAAGAACCGTACAAATTAAATATTTTGCAAAACATAACATATCATACGAAATAATAGTTTACTTTATATATAATACTAATTTTAATCAGCGTTAGTACTTTTATATAATATTAGTTAAAAACAGTAAATGACAGTAAAATCAAGAAAAACATAATTAGCAATGTAGGCCTACATAGGCATTACATAAAGTTTTAAAACAACTTTGACATGTATAGAATGTGTCATAATATAAAATATTATTTAAAAGCTTGTTACAAATTTAAGAAATTCAATGGCCTAAATAAAATATCGGTTTTAAAAGTTATAAATTAATGTTAAATGAACATGCATTTTATGTTTTAGACACATACCAATTACACTTTTCGATAATATCATGAGGGATCATTTATATATGTATCAACCATACTCACACACTCTAATGTTAAGTTTTCTATCTAATTTATTAACCTTTCTTCTCCACCTAATTCAAATGACGAAATAGTTCGTCTTCCGTATCCATATACAATATATTATAAATTATTTAATATTTGCAAACTGAGCACTGGATAATGTTTTTTAATTGGTATTCTCAACTTTTTGTATGATTTATTTAAAACCAATTTAATTTTTATATCTGGATTTTTCATTTAGTTTCTGTCCGGTTGAGCCCTTCTTGGAAGGGGTCTATGTTGGCGTTTACGTATTATTTGCGTAATGCGTTCCCTGTTTTGGCACAAAATTATACCCGTGCTTATGAATAATAACAGAATTATAATAGCGATAAGGCATCTTTGACCAGCATCACTTGATAATTTTGAAGCGTTAATTCCAGCTATATGATAAAAAAAGAGATTTTGCTATTTATTTGCATGAAATGTAATCAATAGCCTAACTTAATTAATAAGAGGTATTGCGATAGCGAAAATAAAATAAAATCGTAAGAAATTTAAAAAAAAAGCTTACACTTTTGAAAAAGAATAAAAATAATTGTAAATTATGTAACTTGTTAGTCTTAATAACGTGCTTCAATAAAATATCATATAATATTTGAAATGCTTAAGGATTATTTTTTTAATAATTTTAAGAAATACTTACATGGTACTGTAACACATTGTTTTGGATAAGTTTCCCCAGTCATTAAGAAAGAGTTGTTTGCTAAGCAATAAATATCTGCAATATAAATGTAATGTGTGTGTTTTGTGGAACATTTCTGAATACTGATCTAAATCTTTTACCTTTTGGTTAAAACACAATACAAACAATTTTTTACAGATCATTTTACTACTGCTATAATAATGATACTTTTAAAATGTACCAGTTAATTCTTTGCAATTTTTATCAAGCAATAACGTTTGTTATTAACGTGTTATCTTAATTTTATTTTAATCTTTATAATTATATTTTATAACGAGATGATTGGCCAGTTGAGGGAGAAATACAACGGGTGCTAGGTTGATCAAGTTGTCTTTTTCTTTAAAGCGAAACTAAAACCAAAATCACCAACTCGTCTTAAAATTTTACCGGAAACGAAAAATGTCGTTTAAACGAATTTCTATCCATAATTGGCATTTTAACTGGGTTTAAGCTGGATCTTAAATTTAAAAAAACCTTGCACCTAAGCTCAAATATGACAAAAATCGCATTTAGAATTTCTTTGAGACGAACTCCCCGCCCCCATCCCCTCTCCCCCTACCCACAGCGCGTCTACCGTCTCATTCAAGTGGCTTTCAGGCATTTGTCGAATTAGGACAAGTGTCCATTTGGTAATATGTCGCATTCGGGCAAGTGTCCGTTCGGGAAATCGGCCTTCGGGCAAACGGCGTTCGGGCAAGTGTCTTAAAAAAGCTATAGAAAAATAATTGTTTTCTTACTAGCATTAAAAAAAGTTTTTTTTTTTTTTGCCGACGCCTACCTCCTTAATGTTGGTAACTGTTTACTTCTATGTTGATAATTTGTTCCTATGTTGCACATCATATATTATTACCTTGTACATCACTTGCTAAAACATTAAAGAAAAGTTGCTTCTCATTTTTTGAGTCAACTTGTGTATCGTTGATGTAACAGGTAATTGTTGTATGCACATCGCTTTTATCTTCTCGTTGAACAACACAGCTACTCCATTTTTCATTATTTTCATCAGTAGTGCAGTTTAAGGAGATCGAAGGTTGTTCTAAAACACATGAAAATATTTGATAGATTATATGATTAAGTTTTTTAAACAGACGAATCTTTCTAATATAGTCATGTATATTTATATAATCTTAAAATATAAATTACTGCAAAGAATCAACATTTCATTTTTTTTTGCCGTATGTGCCCGAGGTACATGGGGCAGATGTAGTAGAGTTAATCTTTTTTATTGACCTTGGTATGTGAAAGGATAATGTGGTCAGCCGTACACCCAGCCGCGTTTGTTTTCCGTAACATGATCTATGTGCACATCAGAGCTGGGTGGACTCAGAGACGCTCAACTGACTTGAATCAGGATACAAACTCGAGATTATCGGGTTAGCAGCCCTCTCACGCCGTCCTATTATCTAATATATACACAGAAATGTGTGATTTTTGTGTACCCTAACAAGGGTGTCGGAATGTTCTGGCCTGAAAGCGTGTTCTACACTCTTTTTGTTTGTTATATAGTATTCTATAGACAGACTAGGAAATGTATGAAAAATGATATAAATTGTATATATTTCATAATAATATATTTACGACCCATTTCAGGCATTGTATACATTGCAATGTATTCTATAGAATGCCTGTTTTTACACATTGCCGGTTTCATTTATGTACCTATTTTTGAGCTATGTGCTTACTATTGTCCATATCGATTTGTACTTTAAAGTTTATTTAACAGCCTTCTTTGTCCTCAATTAAAGAGCTTATTAATAGACAATTTAAGAAATTGCTTTTAGAAATGTGCGATTTCTGATGTTTGAAACTATCAGATATACTTACCGACATTTAAAGAAAATTGTCCGCTGTCTCCGTATATTTCATCATGCTTATACTTGGACAAGTTTGGATAGATTGTAGGAATGAGAACATGAAGACCAATACCAATTCTTTTTTGTAACATCGAATGGCTGCAGACAGGCCGAAACTTTTCTTGATCCATAACGTTACCGCAAGGATTCCAAGAATACACGTCGGTCGACGGATCCTATTTTTAAAGTAAAACTAAATTAGTATTAAATTAGGTCCTAAAGTAGGATGATCCCATACTTTATAATCTTGATGTCAAGCTATAATTTCATTTAGCAGCAAAACTTTGTGGTCTTTTAAAAAATTAACAGATACAATAGAATAATTATTATTTTGCTATTTCTTTTGTAATTACAGTTTGAATGCGTTATAAAGTCTTGTATGTGTTATTTCAAAATATTTTGTATTAAAAGAAAATATATTGATTAGCACAATGAAAACAATGAGGATAATAGTATATCGAGGATGAGGTGAGGGCCTATTCAATGCGTCATTTTTTTTCCACTCATCGGGATGCAACAGAGCAGACAAACCTTGATAGCTTTCTTCGCTCGAGTTAGCAAGTTCGGGAACATCGCGATAAAAAATTACAAAACAACGGAGTTTTAGTACATAATCTATCTAATAAACACATCGTAAATTTAATCCTTTTATGTTCATTTTTTTACTATCGATTATTTAATTAGTTAAAGGATCTTGGCATTAAGTTACAATTAAAAATGTGTCGTTTTAAAACATCCAGTCACGTTAATTACTAATACATGTTGGATTAATATTTAACACTATGTTATATAGGTAATATATCCAAATACATATTTTGTCTGAGATCATTTATCATGAGATGATTTGTACAAAAACTAATGCAAATATGTGACTACCTCTTTGTATTTAATGTTCATCTTGCGACGCTCTTCTCTGTAAGAACTTAAAGTTGTGCAGATTATATTTAGCAAAAGATTTTGAAACGCAAAGCTACAGGTAATATCTTTTAGTTTTTCTGTAAAATATGTAAAAACATTGCATTAAATATTAATTTCTTGTATAACAAAATGTATATAAAACTTTCAAATTACTAAAAACGTAACATTTTATACAAAGCTAGGCATTATAGGAGCGTAAAACAGGTGAAAATTAGATTACTTCCTACGGAATATTTCGGAAAAGCGACGCGCATATTTGTGTTAGCTCGCGTAAAAAACTAACTAAGAAAGAAAAAGTATCCTCAACGCGCATTATAAGTGTTAGATTATAAGCAATCATGTCCTTAACCTCATAAAGTGAGGTTTATAATGACCAACGTAAAATTATTCGTACTTAGCCCCTTAACATAATCTGAACCTGTATTTAAGGTCAGGACTCGGGACTGTATGGCGTCCTTGAGTCCAAAAAAGTCAGAAGGCTACCTAACTCACACTGGGGAAAGTAAATGCAGCTGGGCTTAGTACTGAGCAAATATTCCTTCGTATGCCGAGTTTAAAAAATGAACTCTACTGCCCTATAGAGCTTTAGGTCTGAAAAAGGAGCTTAACTTATGTATGTATATGAAATTTATTATTAAGCAGGTGTACAATATCATATATTGCACATTTTGTATTTCTTTTACATGTAAACATTTACACAAACTTATTTGTCCCATTCCGGAATGGGTTACATAGAATGCCCGTATTTCTCACTTTGCCGCTAAGACTATATTCTCTTTCACAATATAAATATATCAAACAATTACTTTGAATCATTATGGACTTTAAACAATGTAGTTCTGTTTGGTTAATACATTTACAATTCATCAATTAGAAAAACTTACCATAGAAATCGATTGAACAATATAATACTTCATGTTTGTTGTCTGGCGTGTCTTGTTGTTTATATAACGATAATTTACCTTCGTATTCGCTTGAAACAACTAACATGGAGAATGTTGCTTGACAATAAGTTTCATTCACTTTTGTAAATGTAGCTTGATAATCATTGTTTTTACGAAAACTCACGCACTTTTTATCTAGTACACATTCAACGAGACATTGATTATTTAATTCCCATAATACTTTGGTGGTTATGGAACACGAAATGTCATTTGATGTCAGATTGTAAATCAGACCTTGTTTTGCCAACCTGCACTCTGTGTTTCCTAACAATAATAAATGCAATAGCTAAAAAATATGACAATTTTTAGACAATACATTTGTTTGGAATTTAAGTAATCAAGAATATATTGCTTAATATTCAACGATTAATAATTATTAGTATATGAAAGGTATAACTAGAAAACTAACCTGGATTAGACTGGCCAAAGAGAAGTAGGCAAGTAATGAACAAGCACATTTTTAGACAATACGTTTGTTTGGAATTTAAGTAATCAAGAATATATTGCTTAATATTCAACGATTAATAATTATTAGTATATGAAAGGTATAACTAGAAAACTAACCTGGATTAGACTGGCCAAAGAGAAGTAGGCAAGTAATGAACAAGCACATTTTTAGCCGAATCTAAAGTGAAAAAAAATTGAAATAAGATGTTAACAAAATTCAATCTTCGCCTTTGAATCTTGTTAAATGTACGTTAGAAGCAGGGACAAAACTACAGTACCTCCAGAACCCGCTATTCGAGGGGTGGGGGAGGGGGGAAAGGCCGTTATATATGAGATCATTTGTCTTTGGTTTCATTTGTTCTGAAATATTTTGTCCTGGTATCTTTTGTCCGGGGACGGGTAGGTTAGTAACTTGATAAAAATCTACCACAAAACATCAAAATCACCTTCCAGATTACCACTGAATGCTAAACATTTTTTACTGCATAAGCGTACCCACTTTGCGTTGCTGAGATGTAATCTTACATACCAGGTGATGATACATTTCATACGGGTTGCATTAACTGGTAAACAAATGTTTTAAATGTGAGACGTCACTTTCAAAATTACGATGATGGGTTTGTCCAGGTTACTTGTTAGACGCCTTATTGCATTTTGTATGAAATTTTTAATCGTACGTTTATCACCCACCATAATAGTAAGGTTCAATACCTCTCGACAACATTCCAAATGTCAGAGGCGTCGTTGAAGAGACCGGTTACATTCGAAGGGTTTGGTGCAATCCATGTTTCGGTTTGATAATCAAGCGCAGGGGCTTACAGTGTCTTTACTGAGGATGCTATTTAAAACGAATGTAGTGTCATGGTGTTTGCTGTCATCCGTCTGCAAGGAACGCGGGGGCCGTCCCTGTTGCAGTTTCATCATTGCATCACTTAGTACCCCTGGCCCATCGGGACGCCCAATCAACGGATCGCATTTATTAAGGCTGCCGATGGGACACTTTGGGCGTTCCTTATTGAATTTAATCATCAATAATTTTAAGTATCCCTCCATATCTCTAGTGTATGGACTTCATTAAACAAAATACGCACCATAGTACTTAACAGGGAGATTGGGGCACACAGGATTATGCGTACACCGCAGAGCCAGCTATGCGACTGTGCAGTTTGACCATTGCATCAAGTAGTAACCCTGACCAATGTGCTAAACGCCGAATCATTGGGCAAACTCTGGTTGGTAAACTGCACCACACTACGCCGGGGCGCCACTCTCCAAAATAATTCTCATTAAAAAAGTTTTTAAAAACCCACGTTTTCTGATTGAACTAATAAGTAGAAAATAAATGCTATACATCACAAGAAGGCAAGCGATCACTCTACTATAAGCGATGAAAAACGTGAGGCGCCGAAGTAAAAGTTTTTTATCGGTCATTGTTAATATAAGATGTAAAAGTTATATTACTATTGATTAGATAATACTATTGACATTTATTAGGGAGCTTGTAGAGAGTAAACAGTATTAGAAACTGTAAGAAAATCACGGCGCCCCAAGTTTTTCATCGCTTATAGTAGAGTGATGGCTTGCATTATTGTGATGTATAGCATTTATTTTCTACTTTTTAGTTCAATCAGAAAACGTGGGTTTTTAAAATCTTTTTTAATGATAATTATTTTCTACTTTTTAGTCTTTGTCTGTTTGTTTGCATTAAAATCTTGCTATCGATTTTATCTTTTCTCATTCACTTTTTTTTGTGGGTAAACGAAGACAACTCGTAAAAAACACGTTGTGTGAATACGTTACTGACTAGAACACATAGATTTGAACCCGTGTCGAGTGGGATAGAAATCGTGTGCCCAACCACTCGACCATATCGTCTCCCCCATACTGGCCACCAGTTGTTACGGTTGTTTGTACACAAACACCGCGTGAACACTACTCAGTAAGCCAAAAGAGGGAGAGTACCAAACCTTTTTTTCATCAAATTACAATTACTGGGTTATGTCCCTTTTTCCCCACGTTTTTTTGTACAAATATATAGGGGTATAAAATGTTCAATAAAACGTTTTCATGAATCAATTTAGTAATAATAACAATTGAATATTCTATTGTCATCCGAAACAAAGCTTCCCTGAAAATTTCAGCGCGCTAGCTAACTTGTAAGTGCCCGAAATTTCGATCGCAAGATTTGATTGGAGAACCAAACAAACAAACAGACGCGAAAGCAAGTTAAAGAAAACGTGGGAAATAAAAATAAAAGTGTCAGAAAACTTTCCAGTCGTCTGATTTGTTTTTTTTTTTGTTTTTTTTTAAAGAAAATGTCTTGTAATTTGTTTTGACAAAAGTATTCTCAACGCTTTCCGAAAACTCAAGGTGATTCGATGAATTATGTATTAAAGCAAAAAGGACAAAGAGACAGTAGCGCCAAAATTAAAGATAAAGTAGATCAACAAGTGAAATGTGATCAAGGCTAAAATGGTAGTAAAACACTGACAAATAAATGGCCCTACTATATTCATTTGGTAGGTTGAAATTTCGGGAAGGGCAGACAGCTGGGAAGGGTGGGGGTGCTGGTATATGTGGCTGGAGTAGGGAAATTCCCGATCAGTTGAGGTTTGCAGCAATGCATGAAAATCTAAGGGTGCTGAACGCCTTTTTCTCACAAAAAAGTCAAATGTCTTGCTTTTGCGAGCTTTACGGTAGCTACGGCGCTACGAAGTATATTTAAATAATGGCGGAAATGATGTCGCCTATATGGCCTTCAAAAAAATTTAAAAACAACTTAAATTTTCACTGAATTTAGCCAGAAAGTGCACGACGACACTCATTTAGTTATATTTCGCAATGTTGTGAACATGGATCAAATATGTGCACGCGTTTAGATTTCCATACCGGACCATAAATACAAATACACATGAACATAAAAATAAAAATAATTATAAGCATAAACACATATCTATCCCACTCACCATCCCTATCACTATTCCCATCCATTCGCTCTTCATAGCCTTTATCCCTATCTGTATCCTTATTCATTTACCTTGTCTTGTCATTCGTGTTATACCCATCCTAATCCCTTTTCTATAGCCTACGTGTACCGATACACTCCTTCTTATAGCCTACGTGTAACGATACATTATGTATCCCTTTCTTAAACCGTTCCGTTTCCCTTTCTCTGTTCTAATCCCATTTTATTTTTTCTTTCGCTATGTCTATCCATTTTCCTATCTATATTCGTATTCCAGTCAATTTGCTCTATCGCTATATAGCTATACATTACCTTTCACTGTAAAATCTTTATTCTTATCTTAAACCTATTCATTTCCTTGTTTCTATTTCTATTCCTATCCTGTTTCACTTTCCAAATCGATATAGCTATCCATTTCCGATCTATTCTATTTTATTTCAATTCCTTAATGCTATCCCTATTAAGTGTATCTTGTTAAATCTTTCTGAAACTAAATACATAATTTCCTAAATTTGTTATGAAACAAATAAAATCTAGTAAAGCATGCAGCTTGCTTCCTTTTTAAAATTACAAAAAAAATCGGAAGAAACAAATCGCGCCCTGCGGGGCGCCACCCCTGCGAATATGATTTTTTTTCCCGCAGAAACCTCCCCAGGTATATTCTCAACAGCTTCCCAAAGTTTCACAGCGAGTAGATAAGAGGTGCATTAATGCATAAAAGACACACACACAAATACATTGCTGTATATATATATATATATATATATATATATATATATATATATATATATATATATATATATATATATATATATATTTGCTCATAATGATGATGTTATTTAACAAATTGTAATTATTAGAAACCGTCCCTAATAAAAAGAGGTCGTTTTCTTCGGTGTAGCTTAAAGGTTGACGAAAAAATCGACTGATAAGATTTGCATAAGAACTCGAAAATCTCGATCTTGATATCAACCTAAAAATAAACCCTTTCATATCTCAATATATATTTTACACACAGTACGTCAACATTCATAGTAGCCTATATAACTTTCTTCACGCTTTATGCATATATTGATTTTTTTTTCACCTTAACCCTCTGCTAAGAAATCAAAGACACACAAAAAATGTATTATTATTGAAGTAGTTCTAGTTTCTTCACGCTACGCCGAGCCCATTGACACAGCTATTTATAGCAGTTGTTTCAAATTGTGTTGACGCCGCTAAAATAGCAACTGTCCAAATATAGAGGTACGAGCCGACCCGTGGCGTATTATACGCCGCTATTTAGTTGTTTTATTTTCTACTTTTCAGTAATTTATATTTGTGAATTCTACAGTACCAATGCTGCAACTGTTTAAAACACTACCCCCTCCCTTTCCCCCAACCCCTACCCTATAACCCCCCCCCCCCCACCCCTTCCCCCCCTGAAGGCAGTCTCCTCTTAATTACCTCCTCCAAATAGTTTAAAATCGTTTCAAACTATATTATCTGCCCCTAATGGCCGTCACTAAACCCGACTCCACGAATGTAAACATATAGAGTGAACCATCGCTCACCAGACCGTGTGGGGGGTGGGGGTGGTAGTGATAGAGAGGAAGAGAGGGGACTGTAAGGGGCGCGCTTGCAGCTTGTTTTCTAACGGCTCCCAGAAGAGAATTATATATATAGATTATGTAAGATAATGTGTGTTATCTTAAATGTGCTATGTTCTATATACATACAATTTATAGTTTTACATGTCGTAATGAATGTTTGAATAGAAATACACAAAATGCATTACCTAGATTTACAGACATACAGCATTAAACTATAAACAGAGCAATTAAATCTTTTTACCATAAAATGGGCATATTTAAGCAAAAATGCCCTATAAAAAACAGGCTTCTACAGTTTAGCTTAATCTTACGCAATAACTCATATACATGATATTTTTAAATAAAGCATCGCAAACTATACTTACAATTATTTCTATCACATACTTGATTGTCATGTTGAAGAACTAAATATAACTTGCGATCTACGCATTAGCAGAAATAAAGTATATTCAGTATGCCTATATGATATTATGAACGCTTATAGGCCTACTTGTTCGGGTAAAGAGGGCTTTTCTTTTCAGAAATTTCGATCCTGGCTCGTTGCCAACATTTATGGCACTTGAGTTAACGCAATTGTAAAAAAAGCTGTTGTATACTAAGATTGCTTGTTTGTTCACATTCCAAAATTTTATATAGTGTAAAGTCGCTAAATTCGATAAATAAGACGTTGTTACACTCCACTGATTTAATTAATCAATATAATTCTAAAGTGAGACGTATACAGAGATGTGTAAATCATATTATTTGTTCATTGCTACAGCAGTATTTATTTTACTGTTTCATTTAGGTAAGTAAATTACATATGAAGAACATAGATAAAAAATTGATTGACTTGATTTTCTGTGCGGTGGTAACTTGAGATATCTGTTTAATTAGTTTCGTAAGCTTGCTCGTACATCGAACCACTTGTATCTCAAAGCAGTTTCCACCGTAACCCATTGCACACACATTTTGAGGTACCACTTTAAGTCCGCTTGTTCGTATTAGTGTATGTTAGTACATTTTGAAAAGATTATATTTATAGTGTAATAAAACGTTTATATGTTTGTATTTCTTACAGGTTCTGTTCAAACAATACGATGCGAGAAAAGGTTTTTTATTGGCAAGGTGTTAATTTCATGTACAAACCATTCGGAATTCTCTTACTCAAAGTTTTCCCTTTCTTATACAAAGGTGGGTCTAGATACATAATCACTTTATTACAAGTGACAAAGCGACATTATAAAAATCAATATATAAACTGCTTGTGAAATTTATTATATACTATGTTATTACAGTGGTATCTCGAGATATAAATTAAGGATACACACCATAGATAAAAAAAACTACTTTTATAAACATGTTCCAGGGTGTTTAAAAATTCATATGTTAAAAGTTGTTAAGGGGTCATCCATAAATGACGTCACGCTTTTTTGGACTATTTTTACCTCCCCCATCCCCTCCGTCACGCGTCGTCACAAAAAGACAGACTCCCCCCCCCCCCTAAAATGACGTCACACCTCAGCCTGCAACCCCCCTCAAAATTGCGGTTAGGGGCCCGAAAATCCTAGCTACGCCACTGTTGTAGATGATATATAATGCTAAATGCACTTGGAAAATTTTAATCTTGTATGACACAGGGTTCCAAGCATTATCGATTTTAATGATGAATTTTGTTTAAAAATGCAAAGTAGAGAACACTGTATAAACAGTTGTGGAAAAATGCACTGTGCGTTTCCTTTTACACAAAACAGAAAAAAACGACTTGTGTGGAAGAACCATTTGACTAGAAAAATACGCGTTGATTTAAATTGTAAGTTTTAGATAGATTTTTCTATGTAAGTCATATAATATGTATACAACAGGTAATGAATAAATGACTATTAAGTATTATACATCCTCTATGTCGAGTGTTATTCTCAGAACAGCTATCCTTAAACCAGATTAAGTTTTGTCTATCCCGATTAGAATTGTAGCTTACACAAGTTTATTGCCTCTAAGAGCCTACTAAATCTTGGATACAGCACTTGAGGCTAGACATGCCCCCCCCCCCCCCCCTCTACTCCTCCCCACCGCTGGATAGTGCGTGAAGATCCGATGAGCCATAGATTACCAAAGCTTATTCAACGTAAATAACACAGGGCTTAAGTGAATGCGTATCAGCCATCCCATCTAGTATTCACATTAGTTGATAGTAAACCCGACCAGGAGCGAAGGGCTTACACATGAACAAGTGTCGTTTACAGTCCGATGTAAAGTCTGATAAACGCGTTCAAGCTTAGCGCATAATGTTATGCAACACTCACTCAATAGGAATTTTTATTACCCACTGAGGTGTTGTATTTAAAAGGGCTGACAACCTTACTAATGTGCTACGTGCAGCACTAGCAGGAATACACAAATCAGTATTCTAATAATATACATTCTTTATATACCACATTACCTTCATAAGGTCTATTTTGTCATGATCTACCTTTAAGGCTGGTAAGTATGTCACCAACCAGTTCTACGGCTCAATAAAACCTGCATGAGCCATAGAGCTGGTTGGTGACCTACTTACCAGCCCTATAGGCAACGTCACCCTCCGTGTCCACAGCAGCCTTGGGACTGACTGACACGGCCCAAAGCACGAACTACCCATAATCCAGTGTTTCTTCCAGACCTTTTTCTCCGGGGGGGGGGCACTTGAAATCTTCGGGGGGGGGGGGGGGGCGGTAAACTTTCTTCGGGGGGGGGGGGGCGGACACTGTTAAAAGTATATATTTTCTATATAAATTATATAAATTTCATTTCGTTCGGGGGGGGGGGGGCGGTAAAAAATTTTCGGGGGGGGGGGGGCAAAGCCCCCCCCCCCCCGAAGAGATGCCTGGAAGAAACTCTGCCATAATCCCATGTCACATGACATGAAACACGGGTCAAATTCGCTCACAGAAGAGCTTGCAAAAAACATCAAAAGTTTCGGTCCCACAGAGGCCGCAACCCAATAAATTACGAATTATTATTTATCCCCTACCCCTGGCTGATAACAATTATATGTGTTACAGTTATAACAAGACTATTAACTGGCCTTTGGTTAAATAGCGAGAATAGGATGACGAATTGTTTCAGCTTAGTATAAAATGTACTAGACAGTGTTTATTAGTGTTCCAATGACAATCAACAGTACATTTTTTGGCAAAGTTGCAAATATTAACCTAAATGATGTAGTATAATTTTAAAACAACAAATAGAAAAGTATATGCAAATAAAGTAAACACACGAAGACAAACGATTGTTTTTTTTTATCTAGAAACAAGATGGCTGCCAATCCCACGTGTTTAGTTGCAACCTATCCTAAATTATTTTAATTTACAGTACTATAATATGACTGGGCAAGCAATAAACGAATATATTCCCACGAGCCGACCCGCTGCGTATCATACGCCGCTATTTAGTTGTTGTTTTTTTCTACTTTTCAGTAATTTATAATTTGTGACATCGACAGTACCAATCCTGCCACTGAAAATATTTGCTAAAAAACACTAAACCCCCCTCCCCACGTGAAAGCAGCCTCCTCTTAGTTACCTCCTCTAAGTTTAAAATCGTTTCAAACTAAATTATCTGCCCCTAATAGCCGTCACCAAACCCGTCACTGTGATTGTAAAATGTAAACAGCGTGAACCACAGCTTACCAGACCATGTGAGGGGGTGGGAGGTGGTAGCGATAGAGAGGAAGAGAGGGGACTGTAAGGCGCGCTTGCAGCTTGTTTTCTAACGGCTCCCAGAAGAGAATTATATATGTTACGGTCAAAGCCCGAAGTCGGCCAATGCTAGGATTGGCCGGCCAATCCGCGCGTTGGCCAATATCGCCTCCCATAGGTCGGTCAAAGTCCGAAACTTTGCTTCATTTCGGCCTTTGGCCGGCCAATCCGCAGACTGGCCATTGTGGACCGGCCAAAGTCTGAAATAGCTCTTGATTTCGGCCTTTGGCCGGCCAGTCCCGGCCAGTCCGCGGACTGGCCATGGTGGACCGGCCAAAGTCTTAATTAGAAGATCATGAGCAGATTTTTTTTTATGCCGGTAGGATCATGAAATTAAGTCTTTATTGATTATTAATTAAAGTAAATGACAGAAACATTCAAATTTTTTATTGCACTATAGTCTCAATCAATCAATATTATCATTTGTTACAACAAGTTGAACTTTTATGGCATTTAGAATTACATAGCAGCTTGTTATTTTTACACTGGCAGCGATTTGTTGTGCACTTGGTTGTGCAATTGCAGCGAGTGTAACCTTGGCCTCCAGTCAATGATTGTGAAGATGCGATGCTTCGTAGTGATTTTTCCTCAGTGCCAACTGACGACAATAAGAGCAGTTTTTCGTGAAGAATTGAAAACTCACTTCTAGCATACAGTTGTTTTAGAACACCATGTTCCGTTCCTAATTTGTAAAAACCGCCCTCGACGCTCATGACAACTGCAATCACGCTTCGGGGATCACCGTGACCTCTGTCAACATCTGGAAAACGGATGCGTACATTGTCACCCACTTCACCATCTTTAAATTTTGTATTTGATGTTTTAAGCATCTTAGCACCTTGATTTTGCAAGCCAGTATGAGCTGCTGACCTGTGTTCCATGATGTCTTGTTTGTTGTGACACAATCTGCAGGTAATGTTCCCTCCGTACCCTTCGTCTGCTTCATTGGGTACTCCACAAATAGCATGGACATCTTTGCCACAGGATCCACGAGATTGAGCTGCACTACAATGTTTTTCACAAACTATACAGAATCTGTTGGCCACATTATTGTCACGCAACTGGTCTGGATGTTCCGCCACGGCAGTAGATGTGTTAGCTGAGGATGTAGTTGCATTTATGGCAACCTCCATTTCTTGTTCAATGTTCTTTTGACAGCCATTTGCTATGTCTGTCTCATAGTCTGGCGGCCCTTTTGATCCATGTCGCCTTGCATATAGAATGCTATACAAACAAGAACTAAACAATACGTTACTCACAATGAAACCGCACAAAGAATAATTAAAACGCGATCACAACTTAGTCTAGATACAACATTGGCCAGGACATCCCGGCCAATGCACGCATTGGCCGGCCAATGCGCGCATTGGCCGGCCAATGTACAAAATACGCTGTCAAGTTCAAGTACTTCGGACTTTGGCCAGTACCCCCCGGCCAGTGCGCGCATTGGCCGGCCAATGTACGAAATACGATCTTAGTTCTAAGTTCTTCGGGCTTTGGCCAAGAGAGCCGGCCAATCCGCGCATTGGCCGGCCAATCCGGGGTTAGGCCGCACTTCGGGCTTTGACCGTAACATATATATAGATAGATTCTTATTTTTACGCGCATGTCGTTCTATGAAATTTAATAGAAAACAATGTTTATCTCACTTATTTGTTGAACAATAGGAACGGTCACTACACCAGCGTTTATACGAGTGAATGACCGATATATTGCTGCATAGTTTTTGGTGCTTCGCGGGCAATAAATGATGTAATATACGCTCGAAGATAGCCGCTGTCCGCGTAGTAGTGTGAAAATTTGCCGGAGGGGGGAGGGTACCATTTTTCACTTCGCAATAAAAGGATAACGGTAGGCTGTAGAAGTCTGAAAAGTTCGCGTTGAATAGCTAAAAGGTGTTTGTATCGAATTAAGAAATAAACATTTTTGTTAAACAAAAAGTCCATTATATCGAAAACATGTGTATCTTGTATCCAAGTATTTCACTAAAATCGTCTGTTAAGGCACTGGTATGCCGAGGTGCCACTGTACTATCATTTATACATACTAACTGATAGATTTTATTTCAGATTAAAGATCTAATCGTGCCAGAGGTTGACTGCCAGTCAAACGGGAGTTTATTAATTTGCAACCAGTATATACCTTTAATGAGACTGGGGATGGGGAACTATTCAATATTTGCAATTATCCAACCAATGATCACCAATTCTTCGTCTTTCAAAATAATGGAATCTGCAACAGAAATACCAATTAGCTTAGGTAACTTATAATAAAAACAAGTAAATTAATTATTATTTCTATAAAACAATAAAAAGTACTTTTGTAGTTTTATATTTCTTGTGGTTTTAATAAAATAAATTCATTTCGCTTTTATTTATGTAAAAAATGTGTGTTTCAGCGTTTCCCAAGGTTGCATTTGATAACTGCTCATATTTTCAAGATAAAATATTTTTTATCGCACACTGTACATGCAGAAGAATTGACTTAAGCGAAATTTCGACGTTAATCATTCTCCATACGGATGACAATCGAACAGTCTTTAAAGAAAGTGGCTCTAGCCTATTTGTGGAATTCCATATAAATAAGACAACAGGTATTTACACAATTGATAAATCATAATTTATTTTCATCTAATAGTAGGTAAGCCAAAATTGTTCAAAAGTGTGCTGTGTACACAAATTATAAAAACTAAAACTTTGTAAATATATTGTATATACAATCAAATATGTGTTTGAATATATTTTTCAACCACGTTTGAAACTCTAATGTTTTCCTTTAGAAATAAAATGCCAAGCAGTTAATTCAGCTGGTTGGAAATCGGAAATAATCAGATTTGGTTATATACTTGATGATGATGGTATGTACGCTTAAATATTCACATGTATTAATATATATATATATATATATATATATATATATATATATATATATATATATATATAAACATATATATATATATATATATATATATATATATATATATATATATATATATCGCCATTGTGTAATATTATTAGTGTTCATAATTGTACTAAAATCTAAAGTGATTATTTTAAAAAAGCTTTATTGATCAATGTCAAAATATATTTCAGTGTACATTTTAATCAACTTAATTTGCAAAGAACAATAAATTAAACTAATCTTATTACCCTTCACAGAAATTCCATAATTACGTCCCTTTGTCCCTTTGTACCAATTAGTTCACTTGATAGTGGATTTTTTTATCAGAAAAAAATTTACTTATTTTTAGCTGGTTTTGGTATTGGAAAATTTATATTATTAGTATGGATTGATAAAGTGCAATTTGGTAGATAAAACACAGGTATATTAAATACTAAATATTATTTAATTTGTACATTGGATTTACTGTCTAAAAATTATTATTTTTTATCTATAACTATTTAGAAGCAGTTCCTAAGTGTCCTCTATGTTTACGTTTATGATTCAATTTGCGTTATTTTTGCGTTTTTGGTTGCGTTTGAGTTTGCGTTTGCTTTTGCTTTTTTTAATACGTGTGTTTTGGTTTTGTTTGCGTAATTGTTTGCATTTGTATTTGTGTTTGTCTTTATATTTGTATTTGCGTTTGGGCTTCCGTTTGTGTTTGCGTTTGTTTTTGTACTTATGATTGTGTTTCCGTTTGTGTTTGTGTTTGGTGTTGTGTTTGGGGTTGTGTTTGTGTTTGCGTTTGTGTTCATGTTTGCTGTTGTGGTTGCGTTACTTTGGGAGGTTGTTGAAAACACTACTAGTTGGCAACCCAGTAGGAAGCTATTCTATTCTTCTCTATATACGGTATAGAAAAATAAAAGTCGATTGCTGTTCGATACACTTCCTTCAATCGCCATCAAACTTTAGTGAGTTGATTAGAACGTTTCAGTGGAGGTTTCTGCAAAAAATTCTTTTTTATTTTTAGTTTGCAAGGGCGGCGGCCCTAATGGGTGCGATTTTTTTTCTATCTAGGGTATATACAAAACAAAAACTTCGAATGAGGTTCGACACCGTTCATCCAAGTAGTGCTATGTAATTTTTGGGAATTGATGAGAATACTCGCGAGAATTTTTATGGGGGAAAAAATTCAATTTCGCACTGGCGGCCCTCGACACGGTGCGATTTTGCGCCCCGGTCTTCTACTCCAAGAGCGCTATAGCGCCTATGTTTGTTTTGAACAGTTTTAGATTATGCATAAGATGGGGTATTTGAGATATCTAAATTGTATCAGGCGTGTTCGAGGGCGCCCTAGCAGGGTACGATTTGGCGCCCTGGGCTATCCCATGATCGCTATGGCACCTACATTACTTTTAGAAAATGCAATACCCTATTGATAAAATTGCGGTATTACTGTCGTTAACAAAATTGAACCAGACGCGTCCACGAGCACCACAGCAAGGTTCGATTTGGCGCCCCGGCTATCAAGTGAGAACTTTTGCAACTACGTTAGTTTTAAGGAGCACGGTGTCACACTACATTTGATGATTAAACCGAGCCAATGCGGTAATGTAATCGGGGGTTCTCGAGATCGCCCATTTACGTCCGTGACATTTGGGTGTTGACCTACGTGTGTTCTACCTCACTATTACGTTGAGTGATTTACGTACACTCAAGATGTTCGATATATATTTACATTTAAGGGGTTAGGCCCCAGAAAAACGAACTTCTTCATCAAAAACTTTTATTGATTCTTTTGTGTATATCTAAGTTAGGGTACTTGAAGGGAAATATTTCCAAGCATCAGGGACTCTTTTGAAAATATGGTTGCCATGGCAACGGCGGCCATCTTGAAAAACATCATTTTCTGGAGTTCTAAAATTTCATAAACTATCATATATCAGCTATATAACCATTGATCCTTCTTGTACTAACACTAATAGAGTCAGCTGGTTAGTTTTTGTAACAGAAATCACCCTAGAAATATTTTTTTTTTAGTTTTCAAAATTTGGTGTGACGAAATTCCATTGAAATTAATGCTAAACTCAATGGAATTTTACCATAAAATTTTTATAAAATTTTGAAAAAAATATTTCTAGAGTGATTTTAAATGTGACACAAATTAGGACGGGACAGACACCAATTTGTCTAAAGTTTTAGTTCATCAAATATATTGACGTTATCAGACAGCTATGGTTGGAGGGGGGCACCCAGGTTTATAGTATTATTCATTACCAGATCTAGTGGTGACGCAAGTGTGTTAACCTTATCTTTATCTAGCTATAATCACATTGAAAAAGTTAGTCATTTTATTTTTTTTTAATTTTATTTCTTAGTCTTATTCTTTACAGATGATAATATTTTCGATTATCTCTATAGCCTTAAACATTTTATTATTGCGAGATGTCTAAGCCGTAAATACAATAGTTTATCATCATTAGTTAATTCAATTAAGTAAACACTTAAGACAAACTCAACTACTACCCTTAAGTCTAAAGATTTGAGATCGATCCGATCTAGAGATCGAAGGACACACAAGAGCCCTCCAAACTCTGAAGTGTACCTGCCTCACGATAGGGACAAAAAAAAATTGTGCTGACTACATCTTATAAACAAATCTAATAACTCTGCTTCATTTGCCAAACGGACTGAAACGAACTTTGCGGGTCTATTTAGACGTCCAATTAATTTGAACGTAACAGCTTATATTAACATTTAATGAGATTTAATAAGATATATCGTATATTTATAACGGTAAAAGTTGCGATTAGCACATTAAATGGTATCTAGCTGTAAAATGATAGATAAGTGTCGCTCGTTTAACAAAGAAAACAAAAAGATGAGGAACGTTATTAGAATATGCTGCATTAAGAGTTATGATTTAACATTTTCTAATACTGAAGTTTTGTAAAAATCGGGCAGAGAGTAAAGTACCATTCATAGTTACTTGTATGAAATAATGCTTATACATGGAATTTGGTTTACCTAACTGAATTATTTGTGTTATCACACACTTATACACACGCACGCACGCACGCACGCACGCTCACTCACTCACAAACACACAGACACAAAGAGGGATATTAAATTGAGCTTTTACAACTCAGGAAGGTGCAAAATAATTGATTCGTTAGAATTCGATTTTTCGTATGATTAAAATACTTTGTCATATTCCCTTCACTTACACGCGATAAAAAATGTGTAAACATTTAAACGTCATGCTTAGGTGTATTAATAGAGTTATAAAATTCGTACCTCTTTATTACATAAGTGGTTAATAAAAGACGTAAAGATAATTAACTCGAGTTAATCTTGCGACATATTAAAATGCTTTGTACGACTAAGGAAAAACATACGACTAAGGAAAAACACATGTATTCTTTAAAATTTATTTATGTTTTTAATGTAATGTTTAATTTTATCTTCAATGAACATGTGCATAATTATAATTTCTAAAATTAGAAAACAATTAATACTGTTATACTTTAGAATCGTTTAATTTTCATCAATTTAGATAGCACCATTGATACAACAGCAATACCTTGGTATACACATGCATTGATCGCAGTATTCACGTTTTCATTATTGAGTTTATTCTACAAGAAAATTAATGGTAATTGTTTGTTTTCATATTAGTATTTTGATTTTTAAAATTAATTAACGAATTTTATAACAGTTTTTTTAGAAATTTAGTTGCATAAATATATGTTTTATATAGGTCTGGGTTTAGGTCTAGTACTAGGTCAAGGTCTAGGTCAAAGTAAAGGTCTAGGTCTAGGTCTAGGTCTAGGTCTAGGTCTAGGTCTAGGTCTAGGTCTAGGTCTAGGTCTAGGTCTAGGTCTAGGTCTAGGTCTAGGTCTAGGTCTAGGTCTAGGTCTAGGTCTAGGTCTAGGTCTAGGTCTAGGTCTAGGTCTAGGTCTAGGTCTAGGTCTAGGTCTAGGTCTAGGTCTAGGTCTAGGTCTAGGTCTAGGTCTAGGTCTAGGTCTAGGTCTAGGTCTAGGTCTAGGTCTAGGTCTAGGTCTAGGTCTAGGTCTAGGTCTAGGTCTAGGTCTAGGTCTAGGTCTAGGTCTAGGTTTAGGTCTAGTTCTAGGTCTAGGTCTAGGTCTAGGTCTAGGTCTAGGTCTAGGTCTAGGTCTAGGTCTAGGTCTAGGTCTAGGTCTAGGTCTAGGTCTAGGTCTAGGTCTAGGTCTAGGTTTAGGTCTAGGTCTAGGTCTAGGTCTAGGTTTAGGTCTAGTTCTAGGTCTAGGTCTAGGTCTAGGTCTAGGTCTAGGTCTAGGTCTAGGTCTAGGTCTAGGTCTAGGTCTAGGTCTAGGTCTAGGTCTAGGTCTAGGTCTAGGTCTAGGTCTAGGTCTAGGTCTAGGTCTAGGTCTAGGTCTAGGTCTAGGTCTAGGTCTAGGTCTAGGTTTAGGTCTAGGTCTAGGTCTAGGTCTAGGTTTAGGTCTAGTTCTAGGTCTAGGTCTAGGTCTAGGTCTAGGTCTAGGTCTAGGTCTAGGTCTAGGTCTAGGTCTAGGTCTAGGTCTAGGTCTAGGTCTAGGTCTAGGTCTAGGTCTAGGTTTAGGTCTAGGTCTAGGTCTAGGTCTATGTCTAGGTCTAGGTCTAGGTCTAGGTCTAGGTCTAGGTCTAGGTCTAGGTCTAGGTCTAGGTCTAGGTCTAGGTCTAGGTCTAGGTCTAGGTCTAGGTCTAGGTCTAGGTCTAGGTCTAGGTCTAGGTCTAGGTCTAGGTCTAGGTCTAGGTCTAGGTCTAGGTCTAGGTCTAGGTCTAGGTCTAGGTCTAGGTCTAGGTCTAGGTCTAGGTCTAGGTCTAGGTCTAGGTCTAGGTCTAGGTCTAGGTCTAGGTCTAGGTCTAGGTCTAGGTCTAGGTCTAGGTCTAGGTCTAGGTCTAGGTCTAGGTCTAGGTCTAGGTCTAGGTCTAGGTCTAGGTCTAGGTCTAGGTCTAGGTCTAGGTCTAGGTCTAGGTCTAGGTCTAGGTCTAGGTCTAGGTCTAGGTCTAGGTCTAGGTCTAGGTCTAGGTCTAGGTCTAGGTCTAGGTCTAGGTCTAGGTCTAGGTCTAGGTCTAGGTCTAGGTCTAGGTCTAGGTCTAGGTCTAGGTCTAGGTCTAGGTCTAGGTCTAGGTCTAGGTCTAGGTCTAGGTCTAGGTCTAGGTCTAGGTCTAGGTCTAGGTCTAGGTCTAGGTCTAGGTCTAGGTCTAGGTCTAGGTCTAGGTCTAGGTCTAGGTCTAGGTCTAGGTCTAGGTCTAGGTCTAGGTCTAGGTCTAGGTCTAGGTCTAGGTCTAGGTCTAGGTCTAGGTCTAGGTCTAGGTCTAGGTCTAGGTCTAGGTCTAGGTCTAGGTCTAGGTCTAGGTCTAGGTCTAGGTCTAGGTCTAGGTCTAGGTCTAGGTCTAGGTCTAGGTCTAGGTCTAGGTCTAGGTCTAGGTCTAGGTCTAGGTCTAGGTCTAGGTCTAGGTCTAGGTCTAGGTCTAGGTCTAGGTCTAGGTCTAGGTCTAGGTCTAGGTCTAGGTCTAGGTCTAGGTCTAGGTCTAGGTCTAGGTCTAGGTCTAGGTCTAGGTCTAGGTCTAGGTCTAGGTCTAGGTCTAGGTCTAGGTCTAGGTCTAGGTCTAGGTCTAGGTCTAGGTCTAGGTCTAGGTCTAGGTCTAGGTCTAGGTCTGGTTCAGGGTCTGGTTCTGGTTCTGGGTCTAGGACTAGAGAATAGGAAGTATGTTTACAGTACGGTGCTTTATTTACTTCATAGATTTCTTTCAAAAGTAGATTATGTATGTAAAAAAAAATATGTTTGACTGTTGGATGGGGGGGGGGAATTAAAAGGCCTACTTGGTGAAACAAATGGTTTTGGGGTTGGTTGTAAATTATCTTTGATAAATGACACTGATAATATTTTTAAATACATTTTTAATAGTATATACTTTTTACGAATTTTTTCGTCTGTACATTAACTTTTAAGTTCAGAATATTATGATCAAAATACAAATCTTAAAACTTTTAATATACCTTTCAGAAGTGTCAAAAATTCTGTCAGAAATGCAGCGATGGATTAAGTATGCTTTGAATTCTTTCTGTAAAATTTGGTTTTAAGCAAAACTAAAAATTAATCTTTTTTATGAATTTATGTTCGGTTTGTTTTATTAATAATAAGTGAACTAAGTTAGTGAATCTATATCGATTATAAAGTTAATAAGTTTTGTTTTTCGTTTATAATTATTTTTGTTGTCCATGCAATTTTATTTTTCAGAACGACATTTAGAATTGTAATAAAGCACACCACAAAAATGTTGTACTACGATGACAACGCACACGGTAATGTATAAAACAAGAAATACAAAGTAAATCATGGAAAGGAATTCAGATTCCATGTTTTAAGCAAAATCCATTTAAGAATACATTAACATAAAAAATACAGTAACGCAGAGACACACACTCACACGAATATATATATGTATATGTATATATATATATATATATATATATATATATATATATATATATATATATATATATATATATATATATATATATATGTATAGGCATACTTGCTTTTGTTTTTAGAAAACCAAAGTTATTATAGGGAAAAGTAGAAAATGGGTTACCACTGAAATAATTAAACTATTTATTAATAATTATACTTAAGCTTTACTGTATATAATCATCCTTGTAAAAGTAATACAACTAATTGAAATATCCCCATTCCTACGCATATGTTCGTAATACTAGCGCCGCTTCATAGCGTGTGCGAGAGAGAGAGAGAGAGAGAGAGAGAGAGAGAGAGAGAGAGAGAGAGAGAGAGAGAGAGAGAGAGAGAGAGAGAGAAAGAGAAAGATGAATAAGTCCTTTACAGTATAAAAAAAACAACCAAAAGAAGCAATGAAAGTATTAAACTTAATATTTATTTTACTTTGCAGAGGAAATCTTTATTTTTCGAGATGAATTCAAATGGCTTATAAAATTTGAAAAAAAACTGCATTCTGTTAAAGTGTCAAGCTCTGAAAAACTACAACATCTGAACCAGACTGTTTTTGTAAAGTTCATTAACACTAAACATCAAATTAAGAAATCAAAAGAAGTAAGCAAATTAACGTTTTTATCTGATATAAAATGATTCTAGCCAAACGTGTATCTATACAGACACCAAACACATAAACATACACACATATATATTTATATATATACATTATATATATATATATATATATATATATATATATATATATATATATATATATATATATATATATATATATATATATATGCCGATACATATATATATATATATATATATATATATATATATATATATATTCTCTGGTTATATTCGGTTAGGCTTTATACCACCTATTAGGCATCAATAAATGATAAATTAATTTAGAATCTCTGAAATTTTGTGAGTTTTAAATCTAAATTTAAAATTATGTTTATGTAATAAGAAAACGGCTAAAACTAAAGAAAACGTATTTTTAACTTAAAACTAGCATACGCCAATAGGGCTACCCTTACAAATCATAAAACTTAAAACATATCAGTTGCACAATTAAAATTACTTAGAGAAACTTAAGTTTATTATTTGAACTGAACCAAAATTAACTTTGAAATAAATGTTATTCCTAAATTTAAACCCAACCCAAATCCCAAATCATACTTTTTCCCTAAGTATAAAATCCAATTAAATTTGTATCTTAAATTGAAACAGCAGTGACAGTTTGTCTAAACCAAAACAAAAATAATAAATAAATTTAATCCTAATATATAAAAGCCCAATGTGCGCACATCTCTCTCTCTCTCTCTCTCTTTCTCTGTCCGCAAAAAATTTTCGCCGGACATCACGTCAGAATCGGCAGCGATATATCGAGAATTTTTTACGGACTTTTGTTGAAAATAATATGTTAGATGTTTTAAATGTATAACCACAATTTTATTTAAAGAAGAAAAATAAAAATTAAAGGCGTATTCGAATGTAGAGAAACAGTATTATTTATGCAACCGGAAAAGCATTAATATATGTGAAAAAGAACGCATAAAACTGTGACGTCACTATTGCTTATACATTAACTATTGACGTCATCTGCCTAAATAGCGAAGATGTTAGTGTACATTAAACCACGCAGGTGGTGCGGGTTTGAGACACACCAAGTCAACTTGGTTAATGTATTTTTTTTTATTATGCTCGGGCTAAACTTAAAAAAAAAATTCTTTTAGGAATCTAGATCTAGATCTAGATTGTCGGGTGTCCGATAGGGCACTTCCCGGCGCCGCAGGCGCTTCAAATTTGGCAGGATCTTGCCTTGGGGCGACAGAACACGGGGGCCGGTTGGCCGAAAAGTCTACGATGAGGGGGTCAAAACTGACCTCGACTGACCGGTACCTTATATGAGCTATAAATCGAAAAAAAATGTCCACGGATTAAACCTCTTCATAACTCTTGAGGTCGTAGACCGACCCTCGGGCGAATTAATTAAGCATGCAAATTCTCAATGTTTTCGAAAGCCTAAGCGAAGCTGGGCAGCATGCCTAGTGATAATTCTAAACCTACATCCTAGCTTATGTTTTAACCTAAAAATTAATGTCAACACATTCAATTGAATTGAGCTTATTGAAAAATATAACTCTTAAAAGAGTAATAAAGTTAACTGAAAGATGTTATTATTTCTCTTATATTTTTAGAATTGTATCACACAACCAGCGGCGTAGCTAGGATTTTCGGGCCCCTATGCAAAAAATTGTCATTAGGCCACTTCGTCAATCTGTAAATTTTGTATTTTATACGTCCCTAATTGCGTATTTATACTGTATTATTATACAGTAGGCCTAACCCATATCGAAAATTATCTTTGATTTAATATCACTTTTACGTAAACACAAACCGACAAGATAACTGTAAGCCTGCAGTGCTTCTGTCATACTGTTTTCTCCGGGGGGGGGGGGGGGGGGGGGCTCGGACTAAATTTTCCGATGGGCGGACACTGGTAAGAGTATACATTCTCTATATAGATTCAATTTCTTTGGGGGGGGGGGTGACTTTTTTCGGGAGGGGGGGGGGGTGAAAGAAACTCTTCAAGCCTGTAACATTTAAGTAACCAAACACAGTAGCGTAACAAGGTAGGGGGGTGCAGGTGACACCGTTTAGGCGTGACACCATAACAAAAAAATCACACTAAACGCACCGGGTGATACCAAATACCAATTTTCAAAAGCTGCTCACGATTTATTTAGATTTATTTTTTTTCCTTCTTTTAAGTTTGAAAACTGATTAATATTTACCTTGCGGTCCATTTTAGGACAGTTGAATATAGCAGCAACACTGACCCCTTTTTGCCAGGGCGCTGCCCTCCGAATGACAAAAAACGTTACAGGAGCCAGAGTTTCTTTCTGGCTTCTCTTCGACGGGGGAAGGGGGGTAGGGCACTGCTCCTCATGTGTGGAGGTGGGGTTGGAACTTTCACGGTCTGTTGAGGTTTATCTGGAGTATTCTAAACGACTTCCCAATGTTCTATGGCGATGTGGGTGATTAGTATTTTAATGCATATAGGACAGGCAGACAGACAAACAAAAATATGTTTGTTATCTTGTATGGATGGAATTTCGGGGAGGGCACACGGTTTAGAGGAGGCTGCAAGTTTGTGGGGTTTGGGTAGAAAATTTTCTCAGTCAATTGAGGTTTGTAGCGATGCGTGTAAATTTACGGGTGCCAGATGCCAATCTCACAAAGATTGAAAGTTCAAGTTTATGTATAGGTTAGTTCTCTCAACGGCTTGTACGACTGTGTTATTAATACGGATAGGCACTGTACGACGATTCCCCCCCCCCCCCCCCCCCCCTCACCACTGAATACCACTGCCTGTACAGTAAGAAACGACTGGGGGCCTTTTTGGAACTTTTGATTATTTCTAATATGTAAAAGAAACTGGATTTCCATTTTCTGTATAAACTTACTTTTATTTAAAAACAAAATTTTAATGTAAAAGTTTTCATTTTGTTAAAGCGGGTAAAGGGCCCATATGCCTTGCCTCGCTAGCTTTACGGTAACTACGCCAAAGCACACACTTTAATCAATTATCGTATTGGGAGTAAAATTTGCTTTAAATGTCCTCTTCAAAAGATAACAGCATACATTTCTCTAATTATTTTTCACGACGACGCGCTATTGGACTCACTGTACATTAAAGGTACTCTACGTTTTTATGTTATCATATACGAAGTATAAAGAAAGTATCGTAATCCTGCCAAAAAAATTGAAATTGACAAACCTCGACGTTTTACCCCTCCCTAAGTCGGAAAATGCTAGTTTTGCATTTTTTATGCATTTCCTTGTGTATGCCCGTATAAATACTATAACTTGAGTAAGTAACAGCTAGGTTTACGAAATTTCACGTATAAGCAATATCAAATGTGTAGTTCTGTATTATTTTTCAGCGAATTACGGGAGCCAGAAAGGACACTTATTCTTTATTTTTCTTACTTAAAAGCCTATAAATTGAGTACTATTTCAGTTAGGTAGACGTAATTTGAAGTATAAGTAGAAGACATTTATCCTTAGTGTTTTTTTTTTAAGTTTTGTGTGATTTCCGGTGACCGGAAGTAGTACTTTACTAGATCATTTAATTCGAGAATACAAAGAATTTACATAGAGCTACAAACAAGTTAGACTTAAGCCATTTTCCGTCTGTCTGTACTTTCTATCTAGATCTAGATTCTAGATAGAGTCTATTTTAGGCCAATACCACGATGAAAAATCTAGCTTCTAAACTAAACTATTTAAGGTCTTAAATATTTTACAAAAATCGAAAGTTTAGTTCGAGATATCGTAAAAGTTATTACCTTTCGAGATGATTAAAAATAGACTTGGTTTATCGTACTCTTCCATTAAGATGTTTGAGTATAAATAAATTAGGAATATATATATACTGGCAATTTTATCATTTCTTGTATTTAAAAAGTAGTTTAATTATGCGATTGTAATTACGAAATAAAGATAGATTGATATTAGTGATAGATTAAGTGTTAAAGTAGATCAAACATTAGTACATAGTTTTTTTAGTTAATATGTTTAAAGTTGGGGTTTTGTTATGACCTCTGTTAATTTTAACGGGACTTTAAAGAGAGTAATGGTGCTCAAGTTATAGTATTCACAAACACTCACACTTTAAATTAAAAACCTTCTCTTAACTTCCGTAAGTCTAAACGTAATGTGACTGAGCATTTAATAAAATGTTCACAAACATTTAAAATAAAAAAAAACAGAAACCATTACACACAAATAATATCTAGCTTTTATTTAAATACAAGCAAACCGTAATATTAAATCAAATCAATTGTAATCATTTGTATACTTTATGTAGGTTTTACGGTTTTTGTTTCTTTGCCTACATTTACATAAATGTAAATACATACATTTCAAATAAGTTAGATCTACTAGTACACTCTGTTAAATAACTAAATGAAATACTTTATCATCTAGCACTGCATTTCACAGAAAATGTTTGGTTAAACAGTCTTCATAGATTACACTAAGACATGAAGTTAAATCTTACCAGTTTATACCCTAACAATGTAAAACGTATCTGATTTCTTATTTAAAATAACTTTTCTGAACTTTTGATAAATGTCAATGGAAAAATCCGTATTCAATTGAAAATGTCGAACTAGTTAAAGCATTTGAATATGATTTGTAAGTTAGGTAAGCTAGTTGTCACTCTATGTTAGCTTAATGTAATGTTCATAAAATAGAAAGAAAAACATTTTATGTTGCCTAAATTAGCTTCTACAAATGTGACTTCTTCTCTACTTAATCCCTTTCATACCCAAGACACACGGGGCAGATGAAGTAGAGTTTATCTTATTCATTGACCTCAGCATATGAAGGGATAGTATGGTCAGCACTATGCCCAGCCGCTTTTGTTTCCATAACGTAAATTTGGTACCTATCAGAGGTGAATAGAGTCAGGGACGTTACAACAAATATGATTTTAAAAGCGTATTAAACTCGTGTGCTAGGTACAAAAAGTCCCCGTAACATTAAAATTTGATTTTGTAGATTTTGTGTTTTTATTCAAATGTCCTAAACATTCTCACATCTCTTGTGAAAGGAAGTTGAACGTTTGCTTGCTATAAACCACAGGCGGTTAGTGAAGTTCTATGCATTTTCTATAAGAGTAAATAGAAGAATACTCTATATGGAATACGTCGCTCAGGTAAGTTTTTTTTTTAATTTAAAAAGAAATCAAGGATAAAAGCTACACAGTTTACTAAAAAGTCACATTTTTCTTTATCGTTTCTTTCTTACTTTGGTAGTAACAACTTTTAAGTATATATTCCGAACTTTTTGGACTTAAAAATTGTTGGGCCCCTGTATTACGTTTTTTATTGCCGCGAGACACCATAAAATATACACCCATCTGTCCGCGCAACAATTGTGTAGGTTTACACATTGGTGTTGCGATATACCGTTGATTTAAAATTAAGTGGGGCAAACATTTTTTTTTCTAGCAAGTAAAAATTTTACATCAAGCATCTTATATTGGCATAAAGTAAAAATAATGACCGGGGGGAGATTCATTGGCATAATTGACCTATCGTGTAAAATTATAGTAAAACAAAACAAACTATGATAGATTATCGAACAACATTATGAGTGTAATGGCCATTTTCAGACCATATTAACAAATAATAGCACGTCTGTTTGCTTTTATTCAAATTTTCGCTTTCATTTCCACAATAAGCAGTTTTTTGTTTGGTGAGAAATTTACCTTTTTTGTATTTAGAATAGGCCTACTAGGTAATAATAAATTAGTCTTTTTTTTAAATATCCAAAAGCAATGAACATTTCAACAAAAAAGGAACGCAATTCCCCACATTATCCAGCTCGCTAGCTATATGATGTTTGAAGAGCTTTCGTTTATACATTGAACATTTTCAAGTGCAAAGTTTGTTTGTGAAGAATAATTATTACGAGCAGACCCGCGACGTAGCATACGCCGCTATTTAGTTAAATTCCTATTTTTTAGTAATTCATAATTTTTTTAATTCGACACAACCAATGATGTGACTGAAAATACTTTGCAATAAAACACTATCAGTAGCTAGTGATGGACGATTATCCTCACCCTCACTTTCCACTTATCTGCCGTAAATAGCCGTCACTAACCGGGCTCTACGATTGTAAACATTCGTCGTGAACCAAAGCTCACCAGACTGGTGGGGGTGGTAGCGATTTACCTGGAGAGCGGGGGAGTAACGGCGTGTGTCTACGTCTTGTCCTGCATGGTCCCCATGAAGAGAATTATATATATACGAGCCGACCCGCTCATACGCCGCTATTTAGTTGTTTTATTTTCTACTCTTCAGTATTTCATAATTTGTGAATTCGACAGTACCACTGCTGTCACTGAAAATATTTGCTTTAAAACACTATCAGTAAGTCGTTAAGGACGATAACCCCCCCCCCCCCTTGTAACGATCGCCGTCTGACAGACGCAGAACAGGCGAACACCCCGGGTTCGTTTAATGTAGTAAGACAGACATACCTTTGGACAGAATGAACACACCTGCATCTACGTGGGCTTGTTACAATAGTCTAGGGGAACGAACACATATGAAAGATGTGACTCAAACTAGGCTTAACTGACAACTACTATTTAATCTGTGAACAAGTGTATACAAATGACACCAGGTCGTAGTAAAATATAATACTTAAGATCAATAGAAAACCAAAAAAGTCAACTTACAGATCTCTCAAGCTTACTTAAATACATCTCCAAACTAGGTAACAAACTATCACCGATGTGACAAGGGTGCAATTATACACCAAGACAAAATATTAGTAACACTAAAAATGGTCACACAATACCTTATATAAGAAGATAAAATATGCCACAAACTAAACAACTGAAAATGGTCCACAAAACATACGGCACATCTCTCTCCTAGTCCATGGTCAATAAGGCTGCCTCGAGAAGTCTCGTGTCGAGTTTATATCTAGGATCAAAACCACGAGAGGTTACTGTAATGTTGTAAGGCCATTGGTCGAGGATCGGTTAAGGATATTCAATGTCATAAGACCATTGGCCGAGGATCTGATAAGGATAAAAAATCCAAGTCACATGACGTGACAGAGTTCAGCTGACCGAGGAGATCAGGTGAACTAACAACTCTCTCAAGGTCAATCACATAACTCAAGAAACTAAATAATATAAATAAAGAAAAGACCTAAGTAGGTCACACCCTCCTTTCTCCCAACGCCTCACCCCCCCCCTCGTGAAAGCAGCCTCCTCTTAGCTACCTCCCCTAAGTTTAAAATCGTTTCAAACTAAATTATCTACCCCTAATAGCCGTCACTAAACCCGGCTCTACGATTGTAAACATTTAGCGTGAACCACAGCTCACCAGACTTCCTAGAGAGGAAGAGAGATACTGCTAGGCGCGCTTACAGCTTGTTTTCTAACGTCTCCAGGAAGAGAATTATTTATATAGATATATAAAGTTGTTTATTTCAGACTTCTGTTTCCAGTTTTTTATGACACAGTTTCGTCTTATAGACTTTGCTTTTTGTGCAAATAATAATAAAACAGAAAAATAATTTAACGATTTTCTAAAGACGTTTATAGATAATAGTAACATTTTGAAAGTCAATTTTTTTTTAATAAAAACCAAAATATTGTCAGAAGATGTAATGAATGTGTTAAATCGTAAAATATTGGTTTATTAATGGTTTATAATTTTTTTTTATGTCATGAACACACTATAACGTCATAACGGGTTATCCATTGCGTCTAGCAACATATATAACAAACATCCATAAAAGGGTTACGACACACAAGACTAAATAAAAGAAATGTTCGTTACAAAACTAAATATAAGTTTAATGACTACCGTCACTAAACACAACAAACACAGTATATACTAACTAACACAGTATATGCTAACTACATAACACACCAGATAAATACAAGCCTTATATACAGAGCTAAATTACACATAATTAACAAGACGAACCTGGTATATGTAAAGTAATGGATTTAGGCGACTAAACCATGTTGCTTCAAACCTTTTCGACGTGTACACAAACATGTACAAAGCGTACTATGACCACGTGATTAAATATAGCTCAGGACACGAGTGGTGAACAATTGGAGTCGGGATAGGTTACTACGTAAATACAACATTCACGTATTTCATCCATTTTACTCATTTGCCACAATGAGGTTTTATTGAATGTCTCTATAATGTTTACAGAAGTTTATCAATTAACTTAACACTAGTAAAAAAAACGATAAATATGATTTGCAGGTAATTAGTTTTATTGAACGTGACAGAAATTCGCTGAATTGTATGTGATATTAATAATTTACACTTAATTGTGTTCTATAGATCTTAAGGTTAGACTCAAAAGTCATGCATACATATCCTTCATATTTTACATTTATTTTAGAACACTTTGATGAGCTACATAATAAAGACAAAGAAATTAATTCCCGAAATGAAAGTGAAGTTATTCACTAAACAAATTTTGGAAGGCCTATCTCATCTACACGTGTCAAAAATTGTGCATACAAATCTAACAAGTAAGCCAGGATAATATTCAATATATTGAAATATTGCAATATATAAGAAATTATTTGAATAATCTTTTATTATTTCATACGTTACATGCACATTTTTTCAAAGGTTACAACATACTATTGGAAAATGAAGACAATATTAAGCTAACGTACTACGGGGTGGCTAACATGCTTGAGAAAACAGTGTATGATCCAAAGAAATTCCAATACCTCGCCCCTGAACTTAAAAATAATGACAACCCTAAATACACCAAAAAGACAGACATATGGTAGAGTACTCAATAATTTATAAATATTAGAAATTATTTACGGTTTTTTAATATAATAGCATATTAATTAACTGATTTAAACACATTTTAATTGATTTTTTAAGAAGGAAATATTTAAAAATTATAATATAAAACAGCTGATTGAAAATTCTTTATTGAATACGAATTAGTTAACATTGCCTTTTTAATTCTAGGAGTGCTGCTTGCATCGTGTTAGAAATGGCTACTGGAAAACCACTGGATCACAACAACAATTCAGATCAAAACTCACAACTATCTATGCTCCCTATAAATTCATCAAAACAATTAAAATCATTTTTGAAAAAAACACTTAATGATAACCCAAAACAAAGACCATCAGTTCGGAAGCTATTACAGCACGAATTATTCATGGTATAGGAGAAAAAGTCATTCATTTTATTGACAAGACGAAGAATAAGGAGAGAAAGCTTAATTTGAATTATAATATGTGCATATTGTATAACATTGCACAATATTTAATAACAAAATATTTTATTTACAAATTTTGATTGTCATATAAGTTTTACAGAAACAAAGAAACATATATTTTTTTTGCGTTCTTAATTGTCATATTTTAGAGGATTTCCGCAACCCCAATTAAGCATAACCTCATAACATATTACGCGCCACTGATACTTTAACTTTGACTTTAGCCTGAACTTTTTTAACGATCAATTTACTCGACGTTTATAAATGGAGCCTTTTAATATAAGTTTCAATTACCACTTTCATGCAATGGTCCCTATATCATCAATTTCATTATATTGCCTCAAAAATCGCTCATCACTTTTTAATTTAGCTATTTTATTTATTATTTATTTAATTATATTTGAAATTATATTTATTATTATTACTTATTTTTAAATTATATATTAAGTTATTTCGCTTGTATAATATTAATTAATAATATTTTAACTAATAAGTTATTATGCACTAGCTTTTTCGGTTTTTGGTTTTGAAGTTACTTGGTTTTCAAACAATGTGTTCATTGTTTGAAGTGTTTGTTCTGTAAATTTATCAAAAATCTAATATTTTTTAATGTATTAATTCACTTGCCGTTATCAACTAGGTGTTGCTACAGAAATTTAAAGATATAGAATCATATAAAACTATAAAGCAGTTACGTTATAATTTTACACAATTACTGTTATTATAGCAAAGTGTAACATTAACTTAAAAAAATAATAAAGAAATTGAAATAGAATATTGTGCTCAAACAGCATAAATTATGTATCTAATACACAAATACGTGTAATCAGTATGTGTTAAATGTTAAAATACATATGTGCCAATAATATCAAAACCAAACTGAAAATAAGCCTATAGCCTAAAATTCAGTCAGTGAGTAGGTATTGTCCTACTGCAGTTTTTGTGTCCGGATAAGGTCCTGGGATGCTATGGTTGGGGAGGGGGGGGGGGGTGATAATTGAACTTGGGGTAAAGACGTTGGTAAAATGACGGGGGTAATTAACGGAACGGGATAAATTACTAGGTCACTTTTTAAGCACCTCCTACTTTACATATACCTAGGCTTCAGGATCTATATAATTAAGTATTAGGAATTAGGAATGGATTTTTTACAATTACTTAACAACAGTTTTGTGTACATTTTAAATGAATTTATCTTTTATCCACATGTTTTATTCGATTATTATTTTTAGTAGTGTAAGAACGGGGAAATCAAAAGATTAAATGCACGATGCATTCAACATGTAATTTCAGCTGTGAAATAGTTTAATTGTTAACAAATTAACTTATATTTTCTGATAAAGTGGTATTTTTCCAGTTATGTACATCAACAGAGTCATCTCTCTAATAAATGTTAAGCTTGTGTCGCATTTTATAGTGGAAGATCTTATAGAAGCATTTTAAATAAACAGAGATTAATCTCCCCAAAATTCTCTCGAATATTCTTATATTCGGGGAATGGCAACTCGGGATATAGACATTATTTTAAATCAATTTTTTACTTACTTACACTTTTTAAAACAGAATAGAATCTCGTAGAAAAAATTGCGCATCAAGTGAACGCCAAACAATATGTTTATAATAGTGCGAAATATTATTAGTACTTTATAAATTCACTTGCGTTGTTTGTGAAATTGGAAATAGCGTACAATTACTACTTCCTATCAACGGAAGTTACTCAAAATTTGGCTGAAGGCAGATAATTAGATCACTTACTTACGTGTGAAATTTCGTTTATCTATCTGAAACAGTAATCAAGTTATATGTTTTTGAAAAACCCAAATTATAATAAGTTACACTTCCGGTTACCGAAAATCGTTAAAACGTTGATAAAGAACTAAAAATTTGACATACTTCTATACGAAAATTCATCAACCTATCTATAACGGTACTCAAGTTATCGTGTTCAAAGACATACATACACACACACACACACAGACATAAGGACAGAATTGCAAAGCTCAGCTCCGACTCGATTACGAATAGAACACCGAAATTTTGATAAATCTGCTTATTTTTGCCCGATTAAGATAAGTCTCCTATACTCCGTATATGATGAAATATTGAGGTGTAAAACGATGAAAAATCAGAATCTCATGTGATTTTTGCGCACGATTACAATACTTCCTTAATACTCTGTATACGAGAAAGTAAGAATGAGGTATATATTACGGCGCGGTCAGTATGTAGGCTATAGTTTTACGTCATGTTGACGATGAGTATCTTTTTGGCAAAAACAATACCTCTGAAACTTTCCTGTAAATACATCTACTACATGTGTTGAACAGCGTGACAAACCCCACTTTGTTTTTAAAAATATAGAATTGTTTATTTATTGAATGAATAAATAAATACATTTTTAAATACATTTTGATTTATTTAATAACCAGCATAAGTATATAAATACAGAAAATAAATACCTGCAGTAATTAATTAATTAAAAATTAACATTTTTTTATTAACAATTTTCATTTTTTAATCTTCCTTATTTTATAACATTAAAATGTACTTTATTTTATTTTTTAATTATCTTTCGTATTATATATGCCATATGTATTTTTTCTACATTAATTGATTGAATGAGTAAGTTATTCATATAATAGTTAATAAACAAATTATATAACATTTTTAAACTTGTTATTTCATTTCGTAAACTTATATATATATATATATATATATATATATATATATATATATATATATATATATATATATATATAAATATATATATATATATATATATATATATATATATATATATATATATATATATATATATATATATATATATATGTAAAGCAATGTATATATGTTAATATATATATATATATATATATATATATATATATATATATATATATATATATATATATATATATATATATATGTAAAGCAATGTATAGGCCTATATGTTTATTTGTGTCTTATCAATTACTACACCTTTCATTCGATTGCCTAATTTTGGAGGCTGTGGAGAATTTTCCTGTGGAAGTATCTTTGAAAAATCTATTTTAATTTCGCAGGAGTGGTGCCCCTAGCAGGGAACTATTTGATTTTTCTCAATATACGGTATATCCTAACATATAAAAGACCATTTGCGCACTTCTCCCTCTCTCTTTCTCTCTCTCTCTCTCTGTGTCCGCAAAATATTTTCGCAGCATATCACATCAGAATCCTCAGCGATGTATGGAGAACTTGATACGGACTTTTGTTGAAAATAATAATATGATAGATGTTTTAAATGTATAAACACAATTTTATTTTAAAGAAGAAAAATAAAAAAATAAAGGTGAATTCGAATGTAGAAAAACAATTTTAATTATGCAACCGGAAAAGTGTTTATAGTTGGGACAAGAACGCATTTAACAAAGACGTCACTTAATGTTTATACTAAGGAAAGAGAACGAAACTAATGACGTCATCTTCTGAGTTTAGAATAAAATAAAGAAATGAACTATTTCTATTAGGATTCTAGATCTAGATCTAGAATTTTTAATCTAGATATTCTTCTAGATCTACGGAAAAACTAGACTTCAACAGATCTAGATCTAGACCCTACCTAGATCTAGAATCTATTCCTAAAATAAATTTCTATACTAAACTATTTCAGGCCTTAATTAATTTATTGAAATCTTTTGTTTGTTTAGCTATGCAAATTGCTAATCGATATATATATATATATATATATATATATATATATATATATATATATATATATATATATATATATATATATATAAAGCAAAGTTGTCGGGTGCTCGATAAGGCACTTCCCGGCGCTGCAGGTGCTTCAGTTTTTTCAGTATCCTGCCTTGGTGCGACAGAACACGGGGGCCGGTGCCGGTCGGCCGAAAAGTCTACGAAAAGTGGGGCAAAACTTACCTCGACTTACCGGGGCCTTATAAGGGCTATATATAGAAAAAAAATGTCCCACGTAGTAACCCTTTGAAAACTCTTGGAGATGTACATCGGTCCCAGGGATTCAGGAAAAACATTGTGCTATCCTCGGGAAAATTCCGGAACAATGTTTCAACTGACCAGAGGCTATATTTCCTTATATAGCACTGTTTTTGTTAAAAAAATACAAAAATCTGGACGTACAAACCCAATCATAACTTCTGGCTCATTTTTGCATATAGCTGAGTAAATGAATCGGCCTTATGGATATAGTATCGGTCAGCTTCTGCTCGCACGGCGAGGGCTAAAAAGTGGCCACAAGTGAAATTCTTGTTACATGAGCTATAAATAAATAAATTGCCAAACGATCCCCCTGATATTTTGTGAGGTCGTAGACCGACACTGGAGGGTAACAAAAGAGTTTTTTTGGTCATTAAAACTTAACAGCCAATCACTACTTAATTAAGCATTTAAATTCTCAATGTTTTTGAAAACCTAAGCGAAGCTAGGCAGCATGCCTAGTATTAAAGAAAGTTCTTTGCAGTTTGACACATTTCATCCGATCGCTGTGAAACTTAATCTCTAAATTGTCAAATATAATGCAAACTGTCTATATTACGTCCCTGTTTGATTGAACTCAACTTGGACTCAATTCTTCACATAACAGAGTAGCCCTCGCACTAACCGCTACAAACTAACCCCTGATAATCATTCACTCCAACTTTTATACCGCATTCGGCCTTGGGATAACAATACATAAACACACCGAGGTTAACAATACTCTAGGGCAGGGGTCTCCAAACTTTTCAGTCCGAGGGCCGCATTAACTATGAAATTTCATTTCGGGAGCCAGTTTCTTCCAGGCATGTCTTTGATTTTTCTGGGCGAAGTTCCTCAGCCATAACAAACAAATGATTTTTCCTTGGACAAAAAGATCTCCGCGGGCCGGATGAGAGGACTTCGCGGGCCGGATCCGGCCCGCGGGCCTTAGTTTAGAGACCCCTGCTCTAGGGTAAACTCAACTCACACGCGCACTCTAGATTATTCTAACCTATTTCTATCTAACCTACAACTGACCCGTTACAGTCTAAACAGCTTATTTATTATCACACAAAAAATGGGCTACATATTATGCAAGCGCACAGGGTAATCAAAATTATTTTTATATTCAACTTACTTTGTTTGTATTTCTATGTGTCTATATGTCGTCATGGATCGAAAGAGCCGAGCGAACATTAGATCACTTCAAACTGACCGCTTCGTTTCAAACTTGTCACAAGTATTCAATGCATAATTAAAATGGTATAAGCACATTGCTAGCTAAACAAACAAACCTAACTGTCCCGTAAAGAAATGAAGATTGTGAGATTAAATATGGTGTCCCTCTATTTTTAGACACAAATT